ATTGGTCAGCGTAGACAAAGTATACGCTGAGTAAGCAGCGTAATAGCGCGGCACAAATGGAGTAGCCATGTGCGGGCGGGCGACAGAGCAAAGCCACGAGAGGTGTCTACCGCCTCGAGTGAGCGGTCTCTGACAGGTTTGATCGTAAATTCGTAATTAGATCTTGATATTGTTATCGCGCTATTGAAACAAAGTGCACAAAAAAAATCCCAATGCGTCCAGATGTACGAAACAGTTAAACACACACCACAGTCCACTTGCTGCTTCTGTAACTGGCACTGATGAATGATGCAAATGTTGTTTTTGTTTAACATTAGCCGAAAATATTGTATATTGCCGGATATTGTTATCGTACTTTTTTAGCAATTGAAGCAGCACGGCCCACAGTAAAACGTAACTGTACGTATCATTATAATTAAATTCTGCATTGCCACGGCACGCTGTACAAGTTTGGTGATTCCTCTTTTGTTTTCGCGTTGGCTTGTGTTCGGTCCACATAGAAAATGGTTTATTTAGTGACTTTATTTGAAAACCGAATCACATGTGCATCAGTAAAAGAAACCTATTAAACTCAAGCGAAAAGGAACACTTTTTAACAGCCAGACTACATTATGCTTTTTTGTCAGTTAAAAAAAATATAAAATTTATTCTGTTAGGAACTGGTTGGAAAACGAAAAATAAACACAATGTATGATTCACGTATTAGTAGCAACTTGCCATTAAGTAGTGATGCCGATTTACAGTCTTCTACAACTAAAGCGGAGCCTTTCGTACATTCAGTGAACCATCAAGAAATTCACGCAACGCAATACGGATTCACCAGCTGGTGTCGCTTTCGTTTCACTCGACTCTTCCCGCACACATCCTTCATCTGTTTCTCCATTTCTTTGCTACCCGCCTGGACGGTAAAGGTGTGCTGCACGACAGCAGCCTCCCTACTCTCGTCGACAATGCGACACCGCTTCCAGATCATTCTCTTGTAGACCGCACAGTCCCCGGCCAGACCGGTCAGTTCCTTAAACACATCACAGTCTTGGATCTCTCCATTGCACAACACGCAGTTGTACAGCACCAGCGTCCGCAGACGGTGGCCGTTCAGCAGGCGCCGCACCAACCCCGAAGAGTGCCTAGCTTCCGCTAAACCCATGCCGGCGAAAATCAGTGTCTTGGTGCGGCGAGTCAGGCATTTCAGCAGACAGACCGCCATCCAGTACCTGGTAGTAAATTACGTAGTTTATTTGTTACTATGATTTTAGAAAATCGCAGTTCAACTTATTACGGCAGAAAACGTTTTTAAGGGCAGTGACCCGGTTCACGTAACCAAATTCGTGTACATGCACAAAAACTTTCACTTTCGCTCACTCCTGCCAGCACCATCTGTGCATTTAGTTTAGTTTAATTGCTTTTAGAACAATATGCAGCCGATGGTTTGTACACACTGGCGTGAACACCTTTAGTGGCCACAACATCCGGTATTCCGGTTCGGGAGTTATGGCTGCATGTAAACTCATAAAAGTTCTAATGTAATCCTTGAATTTTGCACGGAAATATGACGATCGCTTTTTACACTGAATCGCACCACGTTTTCCAGATTTTGAATTTAAAGTTTTCTTACTCATTCTAAAATGTGAAAATAAATGCAAGAACCGTGGTTCGGTGTAAAAACGATCTTCACGCAAACATGTCAAGATTACATGCATAATTAGCCGGAGATCGGTCCATGGTGAGGCGTTTTGGTACATCTAAATGCACACAAACGTTTTGAAGTTTTCTTGCCGCCTCATCTCCCGGAACCGGATCTTACGCACACAAGCTGTTTTCACGCCAACTAATAAGTACTAACCATTTGGCAACATACATATGATATTTCATAAACAAAATGAAAGAGTGATTGGGGGCATGTACCGGGTCCCCTCCCTTAATGTGGTTCGATTTTCGTTTTTCCGGTACAAAACAATCAGAAATGAATTGGGAACAAAATTCTGCCATCAGGCTGTCGCTATCGTTACAGCTCTTTTTGTAAACTGCTCCAACGGCCAAAACAATACAGCTTTCACTGTTTCGCACACCAAAACCTCACCTGTCATAGCCGAACGGCTGATCCGCTGAATCTACACACCACCCAATCACGCATGGATCGTAGACGTTCGCGTCCGTGGTGAGAAGAGTGTTCCACAACTGACAAACACGCCGACAGCGGATCCCCCCGATGGAGCCCAGCGCCTGGAAGACCTCTACCAATAGTTCCGCTGGTAACGGAAAACGGATGCGCCGATGCCCGGCACCCTTGCGCTTTTTACTGGCGTCACGCAGGGCCATTTCACAGAGCGCGTATTCTGCTGTCTCCGATGGGAAATCGTCGTCCTCCTGCTGCTTGGCCCAAGCGTAGACCTCTTCCTGCAAGAAAAATGATGCTCACTAACCGCAAAGTTCAATAAATGAACTACCTCAATGGTTGTTGTTTAACGTTTAAATTTGAATAATTTTAAGTAGTATCACGCGAATGCACTTTTTCTTGTATAAATGCCAGTTTGACGTACCACTTGTTCAGCTGTCAGGGGAGTGGCGTCCTGACACTGCATATACACCAGAGTCTGACTGAGCACCGACGTGCACAGCACGCGGCATCGGCGGCTTAATTTACACTTGAAGAGCTCCTTCAGCACCCGCGACTGGTCCGTCCAGTAGGTCGCGGGCAGCGGACAACTGCGCAGAACAAAGTGCTTCTCCTGTAGGCGCCATTCCCGCAAGTCCTTTTCCGACGGCACCGGACGCACTTGATCGTCGGAGAGGAGCTCGCGGACGGTGCCGTAGGGCAGCTGCACCTCCACAAACGTGGAACGGTCCGAATAGCGGTGATTGGGGTCCACGGCTGTCCCGGGGTACCACACCCAGGCCCGGTCGGTGGAGCGGCGCAGCAGGACCTGGACGCGGTGTGGCCAGGCATTGAGGTAGCGGCTGTCGAAGATGCGTCCGTACGGGATGAATTGCGCGCGCTGTCCCGCACAGCGGAAGTCGATGATCAGGCCCCCGTCCACGACGCTCATGGCCTCGCCGTGCTGCAGCTGGCCGTCGACCAGGACGTCCACCGAGTTCCACGCGAAGACCGTGTGAACCCGGTCTTCGTACACCAGCATCGTGCGGTTCGTGCAGATACTCGTTCCAAATCCGCAAAGGACAATAAATTATTATCGTCGGTCGACTACAAGAAAGTCAGTAGCAAGACGTTGCTCGCCAATCTATCCAAAACCTTAATTCTATCAAACGCTGCGTGTCTGTTCTAATGATAGTAAGCAAGGTTGGCAAGCAATTTGTTTTGCTGAATTGAATAAAAACGAAGTCTGAAAAAGTGCTGTAACAATTTTTATCTTTTGTGATGGTCGTCCGCTGCCATGCGCATGCGCGCGTCAGCGCATATATATATTCTACACGTAGCCGTCCCACCGGGCGGCAGATTTGAATGCTGTGCAGTGTGCACTATCGCCACAAGTTTGATATGCTCCTAAATTACTAGTAATCGGCCTGTTAAGTACATTGGTTTAGCTTATGGCAGCAACATCGCCAATAAAAAATCGAATTTTCGAGTTGTTTCGTCGATGATACGTCGCGCACCCATAAGGTTCCACGTTATTTATAGCAGATATGAGCTCACGCGTCCACGTGCTGACCACATCCGTGCAGTTGGTACTGGCTGCTTCCGTTAAACGGCATCGATAAATTTGGTTCCGACATTGTACGCAGAGCCACCTGTGACTCGTCGCAAAACATTACCCAAACACAACGTTATTATTCATACTCGTTGCTGCGTATTTGATAAGTCGTATTTGATTAGATAAAAAAGCCATTCCTCAACACACGGCTACGATACCGCAAAGTGACCGTAACTCAAGGATTTTTGGAAAATCTAACCCGGTAGATTGGTATCTGTGGTCACCCGATGGTGTGGACCCGGTATAATTCGATTATTGCGGCGCGCCTGAATATCTGTTTCATATCATGTGGTTTAACCTGTAATACAATTAATGAAAAGCTTCGTACTGAATTTGTTTGTTTTATCTTCAGCCATAATCAAATCAGGAAGCCCGCCACCGAGCGTGGAAAAACGTCCTTCCATATTAGTCCATTACATCAAGACACCTTCCCACTTGTTACCGATTCAGTTGTAAAGATCGAAGTCCATCGAAAGCAAGTGACGCATAGAAAAACAGCCATTAGCGTGATAACAGATGAACTGGCATGAAGACAGCAATGAACGCTACATCAAAACACCGCCATATGTTTTGGCGCCAAGAGAAGTGCAGTGCACTTGTATCTCTTGCTTGCATATTTTTCAGAGGAAATCCAGTGTGCATCTGCACAGTTTGGACTTTTTGCGATAACCGTATCTGTAATATTATTAATATGGCCCCGCGCAAAAGTAAAAGAAAATTAGCAGTAGAACTTGTTGAAAAGCTAATTTTATTAAATTCCTCGCGAACAAATTCATCACTGCGATTTTTATTGGATGAACAAGAATTACTGCTGCATTTGTCATCACGTAAACAGGAAGAACATGAGTCCCTTCTTTTAATGATTCGAGGTTACCTGCACGTTACTCGTTATTTAAATCACCGTTTAACGGTGCCGAAAAGTACTAATTTTCTTCGATTTATTTTGCCCCGCCTGGACGATGACAGATTCCGACAAGAATGCCTGATGGCATTATAGCTCGCACCGACCGGTGGATTAATTTTTTTGGCCATCAACAGTATTACAGTATATGACAAAATCAAATTTTGTAAAAACGAGGGTCAGTTAATTTCTTTGTCAATAGTATTCCACAGTTTATTAAACTGGTCTATTCTGAAAACCAACACACCATGAAGTTAATCTGCTTGCGCTCATTCATGTAAAACGTGCACACACTGATGAGAGAGTGCAATGCCGAAATGAAAAGCAGCTCGGGACCTGCTTTTCATTTCGGCATAACGTTTTGGAAGTTGTGTGTGTGTCATACTTCATATCGCCAATCCCAGCTGCTGCGCTTATCTCAATGGACTTTGATCTTTATAGCCAATTCGGTAACAAGTGGGAAGGTGTCTTGATGTAATGGACTATTGTAAATGACAGAAGCGCTTGAGTCAAATAAAACGACCAAGCGGTAAATTTACGGTATGATGTTGAGACAAGCGACCAGAATATAAGCGACCAGAATATAATTTCGTATACAACTAGGGGAAAGCTTGCACCCCAGTTGTCCGTTTCTGGACAATTTTAACGTCTGCCACGCGTTGTAAAGAGCCGTTCAGCTCATCCAGTGACGGATAGCGCCACAGATTCCAATACAGTCCGCTCTGCATTTTCGGATACGTCAGGGCAAAACTGAACTTGGTTACGTCTCGTCTGTCAACAATAAAGCATACGTCAGAAGAGAAATAAATTTTTTTAAATTCTTATAGAAATAACTGGTCAGTTTCTGCCCACACGGAAACATTTTGCTTAGAAAAATCGGAAACCGTCTGGTTATATAATATTTTTTTTAGAATCTAAAAACCCAGCTTGAAAAAGTATGCCCACCCTGTGGTCGGTAAATTGGTATCGCGTCCCGTTAAAGTAATTGAGAGCGTGATATTATCCATTACGACGGGGTTTGCGATGGCAAAAGCTCGCTGTACTGCATCCAAGATTTTACCGGCATCCTGCAAAGAAACCCAATCTGAAATTTTTCGATCGGCATGCCATCGAAACCAGGAGTCAAACCATAGATGTACTTATTTCAAAAATTCAACAAAGCTCTAGATCTCTCATGGTAAAGTCTTCAACAGCTTCAACATGTTGACTCTTTCCTCCGTGCACTTACCGGCGGGTTAAATGCGAATACGGAAGGTTTCGACATCCGTTCGACGTACAAGGTGAACGCTGCCGTAACGGGACACGTCAGCTCTTCGACCGGTAAGGGAAGCAACTGAGTCTCTCCTCTGCAGTTGCGTAGCGTCGCTGCTTTAATCGTATCCTCCCGGGAATCCTGTGCAGGATACCGCGTCAGTCTGTATGGAGAACTCGCCGGTAATAATACGCGAAACTGAAAACCATCGAGCTTGCGGTAGATTGTAGCAGAATGCAATAATCTGCCATCCACGACGTAAATCCACTGTGGCAGGGTTTTAAAACGCAGGGTCACAACAAAGTTAACCACCCAGCCATTCGGATCGAAGTCCCAGACACGCACTTCCGCCGAGCAGTTCGACGCTGAAAGGGTAAATAGTGTATAGTTTGCCGTTGCTGGTCTATGCAAAACTCACTGTTGCCGACATTCAGTTGTGATGTCATTAACGCCTGGAGTCCCGGTAACCATTGGACATTCAGGGGGCGGTCCAGGTACAGACGGAACGAATAGGCCGGGTTCACTGGCATCATCATGCCCAAGACGGATGGGTAGTAGCGATCGGTATGGTTGTTCAGTGGAGACAAATCAATACCGAGGAGACGGAATCGTCTGCCGTTTTTCTTCTGCACGATGAGAAGGAACGGAAAGCGCATTGCCCGCACACTGCTCGAAACAAAGGCGGGTGTTGTAGTGATGACACATTTCGCAAGCCGGCAAGGTGCACGCACAAGATGCACGCACCATAAATTGCACGATGTCTGCAGCGTGCACTCTATAAATCTATATAGTGCAATCCATATACTGTAAATCTACAAAATCTACTCTACAATTTACATTTACATTACACTATAAATCCCTTCGCATCGCATGCGACACCGCTGCCTCTTATATGTACGAGTACTGATTCTACTGATGTACAGTCCATTTCCGAATTTTTGGTTCAGAGGTGAAGACAAGGGCTTGAAAGCAAGCACAGTGCGCATACAACCACATTCACTACAGCAAGTCTGGACCAAAAGCTAGTAGGTACAAGCTTGTCCCGTAATTTCTATCGCACCAACACAGCGAAGAGTATTAATTCAAGGGTTTCGCGCAAAAATACACGCGTCCTTACCTTTACGATAGAAGCTACAGGATAAGCTTGCATATTCGTGCGCTTCGAAGTAAATTAAGTATTCGAAACCGAAATATCTCAACAGCGTTGAAAATTTGCCCCTACTCAGAATAAGTGCCATTGCTCTTGTATGGCACGATGCCCGGCTCCAAATTTCCAAAATGGATTTCCACATCGTCCACGCGCGCATCGCCGCAATCTCGTCTACGCCCTCTTTGAACAATTCCCATCACATCCGCCTTCAACTGGTCGGTGTCAAAAACGCCGGATGTAGCATTTGCCCGCAGGTACGCGGAGTCGCGTGCAGTATACGCGGTGGTCGCGGGATACTTCTGACCGTCGTATGCTGCCAGACCCTTGTCCTGCAGGCGCCGTTTAAAATCGTCCATGGAAAGCGGAACGATTCGCGAGGAATTCGCAGAGGAGATAGCATCGGTCACGGGCGGTGGCATAACATAGCAAACCGACATCAGCGGTGACCTGCATATGTGCAAAATATTTGTAACAGCAGTTGCCAATTGCCATCAATGCACACAGAAAGGGCAAACGGGACACACTGCTTTTTTTAAAAGGTAAAGTTTTAAAGATTAATCAAACGATCAACCTCTCCATTCTCGAGTTAAGGAAGTTGGCCCGGTACATGGTGTCAAAAATAGGATACATACACCAAAACTTTCGCTTTCGCGCACTCCGTCGAATCGCTTTCTTCCGAATCTCTTGGCACGAATGTTAAGAAAAGCACATAGTAACAATCACTGGTCACTTCATTTTACGAATTTTCGGTCCATAAAACGCACTAATTCGCTTAAAACTGGCCCGGAAAAGCTTCAAGTTATTCTACTAATGGATGCAAAAATATACTAATCCGCCAAAATATTTCTCTAGTCGGTAATGATTCGGCGATCAAGTTATAGCTGGCGCTTACCCGTCTGGAGAAAAGTACAAGGACCCGTTTTCAATGTTCAGGATTTGGGCGTGTACCGCTGTCCAGTTGCTTTTCTCTAAAACGTTATACGGATTAGCGCACCGGTTGATTCTTTTTGTTAAGCTGAACTGATGCCTGTTCAGTTTTAATGATTGGATGTACATACATAAACAGTGGACGACAAAATTGTCTAGCACTTATGTACTTAATCCCAAAACGCGCGTAACCAGGCATTTCCTATACTCAAACAACTAAATTTGGAACTGGCCATCGGCTTGTTGACTTAGACACTTGCACCTTGCGCATTTCCAAACGAAAATCATCGACCAATATCTCAAACGAATACCATCGACCAATATCTGAAACGAATGAGGAAAAAATTTCCAAAAAATTTGATACCAAACAAGTTGCTTTTCATGAGATTTAAGAAAAAATCGACGGATATCAAGATCCTCGTAGACATAGCATAGGATTTGAATCCGCGGTTTGGTTTAAGATTCCACACAGAAATCGTACGCTTTGTCTACGACAAACTAAAATGGCTCGATTTTCTCTCAGATTTTCATAAAAGATGACCAATTTTGGTATCGAAATTCTTGAAATTTTTTCCTCTTTCTTTTGAGAGATCAGCTGATGGTTTTTGTTGGGTAATGCGTAAAGAGCAATTAATCAAATTCTTGCGCGTTTCCTGTTTATTGGTCATTCGGTCCCGGACCGAATGTGACACAATTTGGACGTCCACTGTACAGTCGCGAAGGGGCTGTTACTCCACCAAGCTGTTTTTTTAGTCGTCAAGACGTCAAGTACTCAGATTAGTAATGTCGTGGAAGTCATACCGAGACTTGGTAGCCAAGCATAGGTGATTGCATCCTGCAGCTCGGTTACGGTGCGGTTGTTAATCTGTAGCGTCACATAGTGCCGCAGCAGCGACTCCTTCACTTCGAGGTACGTCTCGAAAGGCTGCGAGAAGGACGGCCGTGTATCGAAGCGTATGCCGACCACTCCAGCTAGATCGGAAAAGTCATCGCGTCCCCCTGTTGCATTACGCAGTTCCGTGTCCGACAGTTCCGAGTTCGGACAGAGGTCAAATGTTCCGGGCAGAATACTGTCGTCTCCTAAATCAAAAGTTTATGCACCAGTATCTTTCTTATGCACAAATCACATGCCGACATTTCAGGTAAATCAAAACGAAAAATTGAAACACAATTACGTTACTAGATTTAACATTGCACGAAATAATTTTTCAGCCGGTCGCTTGCACTCGTCAGGATTAGATTTACCTAATTCGCTGGCGGTGATGCGGGTCGACAAACTGATCGGTAAAGTTATCAGAACAGAAATAAAAAATAATAACATAATCTTCGGTACGCCACGAAATCGGCCCAATTGCTGTAGCGTAATATCCATGTTGAAAAAATAATCGAATAACTGTTGTATCAGCAAGTTACAACCAGAAATAAAATATTAGCCGGTATATTCACAAGCTGTGATCGTACACGGATGTATGCATCCGTTCAGAGCACGCCGTTGGCGCTAGCCCTAGGAATGTCAATAATTCATTTTGAGTTCCGGCTATTCCGGTGATAATAATCAGCGTTTTGAGATTTGCTGGCGCCTTGTTTTAGACGCAGCCTTAATCGGTTAATTACATGCTAACTTTACATCAGAAGCGGTTTTAATACTGGAAAGCAACTCAATCATTGTTACGGAAAACGGTATTAAGCGTTTCTGAAATCTATTCGAACCTGTTGAGCATCGGCTATGTTATAAAATAACGCTTTTTGCGAATCCTGAGTGGTTGCCGTTCAATTAAGCGATTGCTTCTCTCCTCAGGCGCACAGAATTAATAAGAATGCTGCTTGTTTTCTTTCTGCAGTGTGTGGGTTAAAGGTAGTGACGATGACAAATTGCCCCTGCGGAATTGTTCAATGTAGACATGCTTCCTAGAACAGTCGAATGACTATTGTTACTTGCAGCTTCGTTAAGTGACCCGAGCCGGAGTTAGCACAGTAGGATTTAACCGGAAACAGAGTACTGAATACGCTCGTACTTTCCTGTATAAAGAAGAGCGCCGGGCGCTTTCGTCATCATTCATCATTTTGAGTTAATCGAAGAAGCTTAGCTACCGTCAATGCGGCGTAGCAACGCCTGTTGAACCTCGAGTGGTCAACATCGTAGAAGATCAACTGCCATAGGGTGTGTCACAATTGCCTTGGAGAAACGGGCTATGACTGGCTTGGGATGTGACATGCATGGACGCAGTTGCTTTTTCTAATGTCATCAGCAGCAGTACCAAGGCATGCAGAAGCAGCCAAAAAAGCCGATGAAAAAGGCGCCGGAAATATGAATACTGTATTTAGCCAACGATTACATGGTTGTTTCTTTCGCTTTTAGGACTTTCGGCGTTATTGTCCCTGCATGTCTACAGCTTCTGCGCGAACTAGGTACACGGTTACTGGGTGATGATGCTCGTACGAGTTTTTGCTGCAGCGACTTAGCAATTTAGATAAAGCAGGGAAGAGCGTTTTCCATAGCCTTGACCGTCCCACGTTCTAACGGTCTTAATGCTGTTTAGTGCACTACTTTGTTTTATAATGTTTTTAACATTATACAACATTCACCCCTTTATTAGACCCATGCAGCTGAGAACCGGACAGTCCGGTGGATTTTAACAAAGGGGCAGTTTTCTATTATAACATTCACCTTTCTATAACTACAGCATACACCTGACAGTACGAAACGGCATCAAAAATTGAAGAAAACCAGATATTCCTTCTGAAGCATAAACTGCCAGTAACACTACAATGTCCCTACGTAACAAACACCTCTTAACAACATTAAGAGAGCTAAGAACGGTGTACGCGTTTTACTGTATGGCGAGTCAATGCTTCAATCACTTCCTTCCATTCATCCGATACAGCATTCGTGGTGAGTCTGTAGGGATCACTATCCGGTGATAAGCGCAGCTCTAGACCATCGAGTTTGCGACAGATTATGGCCGAGTGCGACATTCTGGCATCCGGGGCGTGCAGCATCCATGGTTGGGGTGTATAAAGCAGAATGACAAAAAAAGTTAATAGCCGAACCATTCGGATCAAAGTCCCAGACGCGCACTTCCGCCGAGCAGTTAGACGCTGAAAGAGCAAACATTCTGGTTCACCATACCATACAGCTGCAATGTCGCAGTTAAATTCACCATTGCCGGTTTGATTCAGTTGTGATGTCATCAAAGCCTCCAGTCGCGGTAGCCACTGGACATTCATAGGCCGATTCAGGTACATACGGAATGACCAGACCGGATTCGCTGGCGGCATGTCCAAGTGGAGATAGTAGCGATCGGTATGGTTGGTCAGCGGGGTCAAATCGATATCGCGGATACGGAATCTTTTACCGTTTTTCCGCTGAATGATGATAAGGAGAGGAAAGCGCATTGCCCGAACACTAATCGAAACAAAAACAACCGGTGTTGCAGTGGCAGCAGTGCTTACACACTTCAGAGTTGTTCGCAGAGCGTGCAATTTAGATAATTTTATTTTTTCGGCAAAATAATCTTGCATAAATATGGGTTTTCCTGTTTTATGTATGCTCGAATAATTTTACTACAGTATAGCGTAACGGTGTTGAAAAACCGCACTTACTCAGAATAAGTGCCGTTCGTTCTCAATGGCACGATGCCCGGCTCCAGATTTCCAAGATAAATTTCCACATCCTTCACGCTCGCATCGCCGCATTTCTGTCGACGCTTTTCTTGAACAATTCCCAGCACATTCGCCTTCAACTGGTCCGTATCAAAAACGCCGGATGCAGAATTTGCCCGCAGGTAAGCGAAGGTTGGCGAAGCGGTGGGATAATAATAATAATATCATAATATATCGGACCGTCGTATGCTGGTAGACCTTTCCTCTCCAGTCGCCGCATAATATCGTCGACGGAAGGTGGAACGATTCGGGAGGAATTCGCAGAGGATAGCGCACCGGTCACGGGTGGCAAAATATAGCAAATCGACATCAGCGGTGATCTGCATATTCGAAAAATAAAAACTGGTCCGAAAACACCTATTATTTCAACCACGTATGGATAGCTTAGTTAGATATCGATTTCGCACGATGGGTCATGTCATATCTTTCTGGCGGTTACCCGTTTGCAGAAAAATGCCAGGTCCCATTTTCAATATTTAAGATTTGAGCGTGGTTCGCTGTCCAGTTACTTCTCTCTAGAACACACGTATTAGTCAGGGGATTAGTGATGACGTAGTAAAGTCGTACCGAGACTGGGGAGCCAAGCATAGGTGAGTGCATCCTCCATCTCGTTTACAGTTCGGTTGTTAATCCGCAGCGCCACATAGTGCTGGAGCGCTGACTCCTTCACTTCGAGGTACGTCTCGAAATGCTGCATGATGTAAGGCCGTGTGTTGAACCGTATGCTGGCCACACTAAGAAGATCGCGAACGGCATCTTCGTGACCTTGTCCCGGTGTTGCACTGAGCATTTCCGTGTCCGACGCATTTGGACACAGGTTAAACGTCCCCGGCAGGAATTCGTCCTCTCCTAAAATAAGTTTTTGTGCGCCACTGACTGTATGGACAATCACATGCCGACACTTCTGATTACGTTGCGGGTGGATATAGACTGCACAAAAATAATTTATTGATTCCGTAGTTTGCACTGGGCAAACGATAATACTGACCTAATTCGCCTGGAATCCACGTGTTATTGAGGAGAGGACGTGTGAGCTCGTTGCCGGTTATGATGTCAGTCGACAAAGTAATCGGTAAAGCTACCAGGGTCGAAAGAAAAACTAGTGACTTAAATTTCGATACGCTAGGAAATTGGATTGATCGTTCTAGCATCTTATCCATGTTGTAGATAGTAATATTTAAGTAGTAAGTAATATTTGCATTACCGGTGCGTCAGCAAGCTACAAACTGGCATTAGCCGGTACAGGAATGTTCTTGTTATGCAGTTATTTATACGCATCCGTTCAGCATACGCCGTTGGCATCGATATGTCAGCTGTTCACTTTGAATTCCGGCTCAACTTATAGTGCTCACAATAACTGGTAGTTGCAGAGGAAGCCATCCTCGGTTGACATTCGAAACGATTCATTGTTTATTGTTTTCTGGGGAAACAACTCAATCACGGTTGAGGGAAACGCTGTTAAACACTTCTGCGGCTTTTTTGTGCAGTATGTAACGCTTTTTCGGAATCCTATTGGTTGCCGGTAATTATCCGTCTTGTTTGTTTGTTTGTTTGTTTAATCAGCTTAACGTCTACAACAATCAGGACAATCCTGCACGAGGTTGTAGACTACCAGAAGAGAATGTGCTTTCATATAAACGAAAGCACGGCACATAACAAAACAGTCAACAGTTCATCAGAAATTTACAACAAAGGATAGTGTTCAGCATTAAGGAAACGTTTAGTCCAGCGTAATTCCGTCCATTTGATGCGATCCAAACTGGCGCCGAAACAGGCGATGCTTGAATGCGACTCTTGAGGAAGTTTCAGCTCGTTCCAAAGCTGCGACATAAGGAATGCGAAGCTCCTTTCACTTAGCAAGGTCCGTCCGTTTGAACTTGTCCTTGAGGGTTCCACTGCATACGGATGTTCGTCCAGGGCGGTGGCAAGGCGCGTTCTTCCTGCAACACATTGAGAAACGGCAGCAAACTTTTCACGAAGCTTAAAAAACTTTTCGCCGTAAGGGACAAGGCTAAAAACGATTTTGTACACGAGAAGAAGTGACTTTTTAATGCGGTTAAGCAACAGCGAGTTATACTTAGCCAGTCGTAACACTTCGGGGTATTGGAAACTGCAAGGTCCTAAACGAATAGTCTTTAGGAAGCGATACTGACATTTTTCAACGAGGTCAATTAACAACTTCTGCTGACAGAATGCGATTGTGCTACCGTAATCAGCGATCGGCTTAACGAGCGAATCGTACAACTTTTTCCTAGCTGCACTATTCTGATATGGAAACAGAGCGTTCAGGTACCGGATTCGTTTCCTTATCCTACTTGCCAAATTTTCGCTGTGGTATTTCCAGTTTAGGTGGCGGTCAAGGTAGATTCCTAGATATTTTGCATTTTCCGCATTCGGTATACTCTCGTTGTTGATAAAGTACACACTACCTTGCAACTTAGCGCGCTTTTTCGTGAAACGGATATGCGTCGATTTTTTAGGATTAAATTTTAACTGATGATCGGCAGCATATTTCAAGACTGTATCTAGGGAAGACTGCAGATTCTGTTCGTCTTGTACTGACTCTATTTTCTGCAAAACACACATATCATCGGCAAAAACAAGTATTTCGCTGTCACCAGGCAGATCATCTATGTCATTCGTAATGCATAAGAACATCTGCGGGCCTATTTTCGACCCTTGAGGTACGCCGCTTGTGACATTCTTAACAGAGGAAATCATACCGTTTATGATCACAGCCTGGGATCTGCCTTGCAAGTAGTCACTTAGCAAGTCTATTAAATTTTCATGCACATCTAGATTACGTAGCTTTGTGATTACAGTTGCATGGTCGACTCTGTCGAAAGCATTACTGCAGTCCAGAAAAACACAATCAACATCGATTCCATTATCAATGAAGTTCATGACTTTCTGAACTAGGATCTGGCATAACAATTCAGGAGAGTGCTTTTTTCGGTAGCCGAATTGATAATTTCTGATCAACCTGTTAGCGGTCAAGTGCGACGTCAGTTTATCATTGATGATTGTCTCTAAAACCTTTGAAAGGGGGTGAAGACAACTGACAGGCCGCCAGTTTTTTGGTATCGTAAGGTCACTCGACTGTTTTGGGACAGGAGTGACGAAGGATAGCTTCCAAGTTTCAGGAAATTTTCGTTCGAGAAAACAATTATTAAATAAAATTCTTAACGGCGTTATTAAGGCGGAACCACATGCTATTATTAACTGATTCGTGAGAATGAACGGGCCACTGCTTTTCGACACGTCTACCGCTTTTAAAACATTCCATACATCATTGTCAGTTACAAAAATGTTTTCTGTTAAACGGTTTCTGCAAGTTATTATGTTTCCTGAGCAGTGGGAAGAGCACGGAACAAGGGTGCTGACGTAGTGTGAATTTAAAACATCTGCTTTCTCTCCGTTGGTAGTGGCAACATGGCTTCCATACCGTAGTATTGGCATACTATCCCTATCCACACTTTTTCTTACAAACGACCAAAACTTTTTTGGGTTTGTTCGCGAAGCTGTTGCAATATCCTGAAGCTTTCGGTTCATGAAATTTCTTATCAGTACATCACATTTTCGAGCGTGTTTTTTCCAGTTGCTTCTTAACTTCGTCTTACGTTCACCGGTACTTGCATCTACGTAACGCTTGTGCGCGGTATCGTGCATTCGGATCGCACGCTTTAAAGGAAGAGGATACGTAATATCAAATCGCTTTGGAGTAAGCTTTATTCTTTCGAAAAACTTAAAAGCTTTGTCAACAATTTCGTCCTCAATTTTAACTGCCACTTCAGTACAGTTTCTATTTGATAAAATTACAGTCCAGTCAATTTCAAAAAGTGCATTACGGAAGGGCAAAACACGCTGGCGAAATTTTCCATACAAACTTGTAAGATTCTTGTGATTTATTTTTCGGTAAAAGAACACTGAACGATATTCCATCGTGATCGTTAGTGCTTGCTGGTGGGCTGCAAGCACCGACATAATCGATGTACCATTTAGTTGGAACGATAACCAAATCTAAAACACTGTTGATACGAGTCGGAAAAGTTACAATTTGTTTCAGATTAAATTCTTTTAACGATTTTAACAAATGCTGTCCATGCACAGTATTTGACGTTAATGCTTGCCAGTTAATTTTGGGACAATTAAAATCCCCCATCAGTAGAAGCCGCTGCATATCGTTTTCGACAAACTTTTCGCTCAAATGTTCAAGAAAACGTGGTAGTATTTCCGCAATCTTATCAGGGGAGCCATAAAATACACCAGCAATTACGTTAATACTGCTAATCTCAACCGCAACAAATTCAATGTCATCTCTCTCAAGGTCCGACCGTCTTTGTCCAGCCAAACATTTTTGACAATTAGAGCAACACCACCACCTGACCTACCGATACGTTCTCGACGAAAAACATTAAACATTCTGCCGTCTCTAAATAGCTTATCGGGCAACCCAGGCTTATCTTTGGTCTCAGTCAGACCTACAATATCTTGACCTGTGCAAAACATTTTTACTTCTTCTGATTTAGTTGAAATTCCGTTGATATTACACAATTTAATGGCTACTTGAGATAACAGGCGTTTACGATTACATCTGATGTTCGTTCTAGATTTCAGTGATCTGAGTTTAAATTACCGTTATTACCGTTATTCTGGCCGCCCGCTGGCTTTGGAAAATATTTCCAAAGTTTAACAGAAATGTTACTCGGCCAGATTTGTGCATTCATACACACAAGTTGTGATCAAAACGTTGTGATCAAACCTTGTAACTCTTGTTCTCTCCTCAGGCCAGCATGATCATTAATCATGCACTGTCTGCTTTCCTTCTGCAAAGTGTTGGTAAAAGATAGTAGCGATGACACACGATCCTTGCGGAATTGTTCAATCTAGACATGCATCCTAGAACAGTCGAATGACTACTGTCACTTGCAGATTCGTTAAGTGACCAGAGTCGGAGCCGGCGCAGTAGGATTTAACCGGAAACAGAGTACGTAAAACGCTCGCGCGTGTCTGACTTTCCTTGTATAAAGAGTGCCGGACGCTTTCATCGTCTTTCATCGTCTTTCGTCATCTTCAGTCAAGTTATTGGGAGAAGCTAGGTTACACCGTTAACGTGGCGTAGCAATGCCGGTTGAATCAATAAGCTCTTGTTGTTGTAGTCAGTCTCTCTGCTAGTGAGGTCGTGACCGTTAATAAACCAGCTGCAGTGAAACCAACATCGTAGATGATCGATGGCCAGACGGTGTGTCACATTTGCCTTAAAGAAACAAACTACGACTGGCTTGGGAAGTGACATGGGTGGACTCACTGGACTGGACACAGTTGGTTTTTCAAATGTCATCAGCAGCAGTACCAAGGCAGGCAGGAGAAGCAGCCCAAAAACCCGATAAGGAAGGCGCCGGAAATATCCGGAAATATGAATATCTAGCCAACGATTACATGGTTGTTTCTTTAGCTTTTAGGAATTTCGGCGTTGTTGTCCCTGCATGTCTAAAACCTCTACACGATCTGGGCACACGGCCACTGGGAAGTGACGCTCTTACGAGTTTTTGCTGCGGCGAGTCAGCATTGGAATACAGCGGGAAGTGCGTTTTCCATAACATTGACCGTCCCACGTTCTACTTTTTAGTGTTTTACTTTGTTTTATTATGTTTTAAAATGTGAGGCTCATAAGCTGGCTGATTACTAAAGCAATATGAATTCCATCATCGTTACGTATACCCTTATACAACATTCACCCCTTTATTATATAGATGCAGCTGAGAACCGGACGGTCCGATGGATTATAACGTGGCACGGTTCTTGTTTTGGAACAATTAAGCTTGTTCGGAATTTAATTTCACCCATAACTTCCCAGTCGGATGTTGCGCGCACAAACGGTTTTCACAACAACATATACGATGCATACCATTTGGCCACAGCATACAATACAACAAAGCGATGCAAAAAAGTGCCTGGGAGATCGGGCATGCGCGAAAGTGTGTATGTACAGTACCCTTAATTTGAAAACCTTGTACCGGGGGTCACTTCCCTTAAATTTTGCAGTTTGCTACGCAGCAGTTTGGTACGCAGTTCTTTGTTAATGCCCCGGAATAAGTCTATAAATGTCAGACTGTGGAAAACAGCAAAAGACCATTTTGGGACTAGATATGTAAGACATACACATAAGGCGGTGCCGCAGGAACATAAACATAATGCTTCCGTACACCGACATAAAGTCGAAATGCATAAAAGCCGAGCCACAAAAGCACAAACTAATGTGGTTATTTACAATAAGGCAGATATTATAAAACACCATGAAGAAAAACACAAATGTGACCAAACAGTTACTCCTCCCTGGAGGCCCGGGCAAACCGCCCATTTCTTGCATGCTTTGAAGGGATACCGGAACTTCCACGCGTACCTTGTACTTATAAAGTGTCATGTGCTTATAAAGTGTCAGATATGGCACGATAGGAACACTGTTTCTACAAACACGAAACAACTACGTAAATGCTTCGAATCAGCGCTCTACAGCTTATCCGAGGTTTTCCCGCGTGCATCCCACTTCTGCACGTAGCGCCATAAGGCACGCTGGCACAACGTGTTCAGCTGTCGGACGTTCACGCTAGCAACATTGTCCTCCGTCCACCTGATTCCGCGATAGTGAGCAGAGGGTCGTGGATCTCCGGTTTGACAATTCTTTAGAATCTGGAGGGTAAGAAAAGAGCATTCCTGTAGAAAACATCACCGCAGCCTTGTTGGAGTAACACACCACTCTGCGGCACTTCAGATTTTGAACTACTACAATGCCTTCTCAAGTCTTCTCATCGATGGCCGTTTAGACGTACAAATTCTCTACGCCATTAGCGTATACAGGCATTAACCTGACCGCATTTCTTGCCATTGCCATGTTTTGACTTTATTCAACTTGAACGAGCTGGTTTTCTGCATCAGAATCACTTCGAGCTTATTGACCCTGCACCTTGGTCAGCCCTGCTGCACCGGGAGTTCACGCCGCACTTTGTGGGATTAGAAGTGAAGGTTTACGTCGTAATATTGCGAAACGTATAACAGAGTCAGCCATAAGTCGGCAGTCCGTGGTGATCTTAGCGAGGGAGGGCGGTCAGATGAAGATCCTGTCTGTTGAGGAAATTCCGAAAAATGGCGATGGAGCGGAATCGAACCGCTGGCTACCGGGTGAGATCCACGTAGCACAGCCACTGTGCCATCGCCGCTGTTGGCGAAGATCAAGATATTTGTGCTTGAGCTTGAGCCAACCAGTAGGCGGCGGATGGGCGGCTGCTGTGGGTGCAGAGGATTCTCCTCTTACAAACAGTTGACCTAACACTTTGACAATAGTAATAGCTGTTCTGCCAAACGCGAAAATGCTAAGTCCTTGACAGGGCTTCCGAAGATTCATAACTTTAATACAAAAACGGCTTTCTTTTAGTGTTACCTTTTTGACCATCCAAGCCTTATCACGCTTCCCTGCGCAACCGCCTATGCAGTGGGCGATGCGCTCCACATTTAACGGCATTCCACTGCCCAACACATGCTCCTCAAACACGTTCCACATCAGCGTTTCGTCCACATTCACCAGGACGAAGACCGCCAACGGAATGGCAAATTCCGCTGTCGCTTTGCCAACGTCTCCATATTTCAGGGAATAATCTGTCCAAATCAAACGATCACAACAGTTGGCCAGTCCCGCATAGTGCGCGGCCATTTCAGCGAACACCATAGGCAACTCCAGCAACTCGTATCCACACGGAATGACCATCAGAGACCGATGCTGCACGACCAAGCGGTGAACACGACTGCCGGCTTCGTTCAAGACGCCTTTAATCAAGGTCAAAGCTTGATTGCTCTTCCTGAAAGTGTCTATATCACCGCAACGCACTTCGGTGTCCCCGATACAAATGCTCTGCGTTGCTGGTGTGATGTACTTGAAGATGCAACTGTACAAGGCCAGATACCGATGCCACTCTCCCTCCGGTCGCGATGAAACGGCCGGATGCGGACGCAGTACATTGACGCGAACATCTCGGCACATCTCCGTCAAAGTGAGAATTCGTTCCCATCCGCGGCAGCTGCGGCGGCAGCGCTGTCGGTCGATCGTGTCCAACGACAGGAAGACCTCTTTCATGAGTTCTACTGGCAACGCTGCCAGATCGCCATCATCCTCACTGGCCCGCTTATTCCGCTCTGGTTCACTGGTCACTTCGTCCAGACGGTTCGAATCTTCAGAGAAATCATGGCTGGACAGTACGAATTCCCGTTTCTTCTTTTCGAAAAACCTCGTCTATGGTAAGAATTAAAAACCGTCAGTATTTCTGATAGAATTAACGTGGTTTTGGTAGTTTGCTTTATTCAAGAGTAAATCTGCACATCGTAACATTGTAAAAGATTTCCTTATATGCTCAGTAAAACAGTCACACGTTACTCAGAAGTTTAGTCAAACTTCTCCTTCAAGGTTAGTGTAAAACAAAGGTGTACAACATGAGTAACATCGTCTGAATAACCCGTACAATCATTAATTCTAACAATTTCCATCGTTACTGTCGAACAACTTACGATCGTAATGTCCTTTATCAAACCGTGTGCGCGCCGCCGGATGTAGTGCATTTCCTGGCTGAACACGCGAGTAAACCGCAAAGAGAATCTGTCTTCCATGGCACGGATTAATTTGGCGACTAGGCAAGGCTGGAGAATCCAGTAGCCGTGCGGCAGAATACACGTCCGTATTTGGAAATCACTGGATGCCAGACGCCGGCGCGACCGTTTGTTCTCCGCGAGCGGCAGCCGGATCTGCTTGTCGGGCACTATTTCGACCCAACGCTGTTCAGGCATTATCACCTCCACCCGCGCATAATCCCGCATGTGGGCAAAACAATCGATGAGAATTCTCCCGGGATACCACTTCCATGGATGATCGGGACGATCAAATAATAGTACCTGTTATACAGGGTTCTACTAGTAAATGAGAATACGCGGATGATACTAAATAAGCTTTAATGATAAACGTACAGTCTGTGATAATCGTAGAGAAGTAGCATCGAGATGATCGTAGAATGATGAGAGCATGAATATCGTACGAGAGAAGCAAAAGCGTTTATATACGACTAATACGAGTAAAAGAGGTGAAGGTATTTAGGTAAATAACACAAGAGGCTATGTAGATGTACAGACATGACACGGAAATACATTCTCTATATGACACACCTCCACAACAGCTCCCTGAAGCGGTCGGACAGTCGAGCTATAGCCTGGATGGGTGAAGCAGCCGAATGCCTGCCCGCAATCTACCAGCACGGACCGCTGCTCTGGACACCCAAAATCCACGATAAGACGCCCTTCTCTATCTCCGCCATGCTCCAGGCCAATGACGTGACCGTGCTGCAGGAAACCGTGCATCTTCACATCGATAGCATTCCATGCACACACCGACCGTTCGCCGTTGTTGTACAGGTACATGGTTAGGACGCTCTGGATAAGGAGGAGAAAAATCTCTGGCGCAGAGGCACAGAAATATTTTAAGCAAAGTTATTAAATTCCTGGAACGATACGCGCATGATCGAAGACTGTCATTACTGGAATTGCGGTTACTGATTTGTAAAACTGTGACTAAATCAGAAAGTTATTTGGACCTTTAAAAGTACTGGCACTGGATGGAGTTATCCCCCATCTGCGCATCCCATAGCGTGGGGAATCATGCGCACAGAAATAATAACCTAAATCGAACCAAATGGAAAGCTTCAAGCATTAGAAGTGCTTAATTCAGGACCGTTTCCCACTTCCGGACATTTCCGAGACGTTTGTAGGGCAGAACCATTACATTTGGGTAAATTGTATCCGCAATATCGGTTAGACGTTAATGTGCTGAATTCTCGTCCCATAAAGCGTGCACCTGGCTCAAAGCGTAAAATGAGCAGATATGCACACATTAGGAGTGACTTATGCTGACAACAATAATACTATGATTAAACAGTGCCACTGACAATCCGTCCTAATTGTGATGCTACCGTTGTATGAGTAAGAATGTGGGTATAAGAAATCGCGCACAGTGTTACTGTAGATAAGGAGCTTACACCGATAGATAAGCCATAAAGTCACAGATATCACGTACCAAAAGGTCTGTTTACCAACGCGTGGGCCTTCCTTTAGTAGGGCAATGTTTGTGCGCCGCTCGAAATCGGATAAATGTTACTGTACTCTCACAATGCGTACTAGTATTCGATAATGTGTGAATAATCTTGACGCGTCACTAAAAACATGTGCTCGCTGCACGTGATGAGTCACTTACACGCGCACACAGTGCGCCTTTTCATAGTTTAATATACTGCACTTATTAAATGTCTTTCACCCACGTGCTCACTAGTACTGTGTAGTGTAGTGTGTACTTATGAGTACGCTGACTTGGTATAATGAGCTTAAAGTACGAGTGATCTGCTGTACCGTCTGTTTGTATTCCGGTGTAGTTTATTGATAGCACTGCTTAACTTTTTTGTGTTAACGCAGTTTGTGTTCCTTTTAATTAAACTTGGCAAAGATGTAACCGTAATAACTAATTAATTTAACCAGGGTGCAATTAACTTTTTCACTACTAACAAGCAACAACTGTCTGTAACTGTTGCGTTATTATGGACAAGATAACAACGGCAAATGTACCTGTGTTGTTGGCAGCTATCTGTATGTAAAACTGACCTATGGTCAGTAGATCGGTCTCACTATTCCTGTGTTGCAGTGAGCAGTTCGTCCTTGGCAATGGGAATTCTCTTATGTCCGTACTCAATAAACGTGCATGCACAGTACCTCTTGATCCTCCAATAATCAGCACAATATCATATGCACTTACAAGCTTTCTTTCACGCCACTTTGTCGCAATATAGAGTTCTCTTGTAAGCGCTTCTGTGCTATACTTTGCAGGTCGACGATGACCTTTATGTCTACTTATGTATTAGACAACGCACAACGCACCGTATGTCTGTGACCTTTAATCGAAATATATCACTATGCCCACTATAACAATGCTAATGCTAAGCTAGCTATGCCAGGGGAGGCTCGCAATGGGCTGATGTGGTGCTGTGGTGGATGGGGCTTTATATATCGTCCCGGTCGAGGTGCGCTCGACGATCGCGGGCGGGGCTGGTGTAGGGAGGATCCAATGGCGGGGCGCACGACGGCATAGTGATGTAATATGCCGTCAGAATGACCGCGCGGGAATGTGCCCGGCATACCTGCACGCGCACTTCCGGTGACTAATGGCGGAGCGCTGGCGGTGAGGTTCGACTAGTGACGATGTCGTCACACCAACACCAAATTCGGCTTCCACATTGTTGCAGTCGTGCACGTGTCTGGAAGGTACTTTAGACTGTTTAGATATCCGGAATGACAGGACGCGTGTGCGCATACAGAGCCCTGTAGCACAAACTAGTGGACTCGCGCTAGCGGCCGGCTTCTTCCAGACGCTTGATCTTGATCCGCATTTGCCGATCCCGTACTTCCAGGTCATAGCTATCTGCTCATACTGGACTTTATTGGTCAAATCAATGCGACAATACACAAATTTGAAGAGAAAAAAACACGCTAAACTATAACAGAAAAATTTCGTTCAGCTTATCCAGTCCTTCCATCGTGCCCAGCACTGACGCCGCATTTCCCCGTTGAATTTCTATGGACAAACGCTGCCGCAGAAATTCGAGCGAGCGTGCTTCTCCGGTGTGCTGCTGCAGTCTTTTTCCCAGTTCTTTGATGATGGCGATCGCCGACGGTCCCCACGGGCCCAGTGTTTCAAAAGCGATCGGAACGAATAGGTAGCGGCCGGCCAGATAGGAATATAGCCCTGATTTTCTTAACTCTGCCTGCATGGCGGCCGCTCCAGCTGTGATGGAAGTGGCCTTGACATGCGAAAGCGCAACCGTGTCTACACAGGTTACGTCCCAAGCGAGGCATAATCCGCGTTTCCATGCAAAAGTCGTGCAGCCATCAGGGCGGCATTCATTGGTGTGAGAAGTGCCGCGCGGTTCCAGTTTCGCTGGCACACCGGCGGATACTAAGGCTCTGCAGAAGATACTGTTTAAACCGCCGTGGCGCGGATGTCGACCGGCGGAAAAGGCACATGACAGCCCATGGTGCCCGTAACCACCAACAGGTTTGTGGCACTTGACGCAGTCGTGGGGTTCGCAGATCGTGGCACCGAGACGGAGGTCGATGCTGATCTTCAGTTCGTCGTCGCCCAGTAGATTACCGATGTGAGCGGACGACAAAGCGCTCAACCAGATGCCGGCCTCTGGTCTAGACTGGGCAAGCAGGCGCGCTGTGTTGACTTCGTCTCCTTGAAACGCCTCCAGGAGGGCCGCAAGAGATACGTTGCATAATGGCAAGTCCCAGGCCTTTTGAGACTCCTGAAATGCAGCTTCCGGGAGGTACGGGTTGGCGGGCTTTTAATTTCCATGACTCCGAGGCACCAGTAACGTCAACAGCGGTGCGGTTAGGCAGTAGTGCAGAAAGCAAACCGGATACGGAATGAATCGAAGCCAGGAAGGCTGGAAGGGATAATTCTTCCTACCGGCGGATGCCGATTCCACCTCTGCTAACCGGTAATGTTGCTTGACGCCAAGGCGGGTAGTCGTTGTGATTGGTCCGTACATTCGACAAATTCTGGAAGCAGGAGCGCATTGCTTCGTCCAGCTGGTATAGTAATGCGGGATATTTCCATGCATTACAGCACCGCAACATGTAGATAATTTTCGGAGCGCCGAGACAATCTGCTCATTGGTCTACGACACATGCGTTATCACTTCAAGTGTTGGAACTGTCCAACAGCCGATGGCCGTTGCAGAACAAGCAGCACTTACCGAGTTGCGCCGCGTCGTGATCCGATAGTGACGGCAGACACCGGCATTCCGCGGGACCCTGCAGTACAGGACGGACCTAGGCGGTGGCGGACTGGGGATGAGAAGTGGTCACTAAAAAAAGCGGTCAAAATACAGCTGATCGGTACAGTGATTTGGCGTACAGAAGGCTTGCAGTAATAATTCACAACAATTACTGCCAATCATATTAAAGGTATATGGATTGATTACTGTACTGACGGAGTTCCAAGGAATCGTTTATCCATATGTAATATTTTTATTTCACAAAACACGGCTACAATTGAGAATCAAGCACAGAACTTATCACAACAAAAACAGTTCATTTAACGCTGCCGCTCCTTCCATGGTACCGAGTACGGAAGCGGCGTTGCCCCCGTTGGATTTCCAAGGACAAGCGTAGACGAAGAAACTCGTGAGAGCGAGGTTCACCCGTCTGGTGTGCGAGCCGCTTACCGATTATCCATATTGTCAGCGCCTATCTATATACGTTCCTATTGCTTAGTGAATCAGGCAGCAATTTGTTTAGCAGGTTTTTCTCAAACTTCAAAGAGCATCGTACAGCTGAGTCAGCAGTAGGGTTGTCATCCCACCAAGGTTTTGGAGGTGGGATGTGATGGGAATGTGAACGGGAAGTGATGTGATTGGTGGGATAGATTATTAATTTATTGCATAATTTCTGACATATTTTTCACAACAAAAATTCAAAATTTTTTGCTAACTTTTTTCAAGAAAGATGCCTTTCAAAAAAGTTGAAAAAACCTGCGCAACTATGTAATTAAGCTACCACAAGTTGACATCCGTTCAAAGCCAAAACTGGCAAGCAACGAAGTCTTATGGTCCTCGCAGTTTTGCAGCAGTTTACAAGAAATAAAAAGCCGTTGGGAGATTACGGCAAGTATCTTACCATCATCTTCCTCAGCGGTCACTTCAGCCCATCCCAATCTCCGGCCACTTCGGTAGATAATTTACAAATCAAATACCGCCACATCACAAGGACGAAATTAAACTGCTACAAGTTTTTGAAAAGATTTTAAAATTAAATCAAACCAAACCACAGGCGAACCAAGTCACTCAACTGCTCTCTCACAGGATTTTTTAAAAATGTCGCTAAAAATGTATGCCCTGTCGATGCGCTATAGTTTAGGTAACCGAATTTTGACCTTTCATTTTTAACAATAAAAACTCATCCCATCACATTTTTTTATCCCGCCCGCAATTGTTCGGCATGATGGGACTGTGAGCAGGAAAACGGCGTGACTGTGAAACTGTGGGACGACGTGATGACAACCCTAGTCAGCAGAGCGTCCGGCTGGGTGCCGGGTGGCACGCTTACGGTGCGAGCGTGCGAGATATCCGTCTGCACTTTGCACATTGCAGTTTTGACCTGCCGCTGGACTGAACTGACCACTGACTGTCACTGATAGACCGTGACAAAGAGACATACGCTGCTGTCTATCCGGACCAGAATACTCTTGGTCTCTCTCCATTTCTCTCTGTTTTAACTTCTCATGAGTCTTCGGGGTCGCCTTCATCGAGCGCCAGCGCGTGCGTTAAAATTTTGTCAGCTGTACCGCAGCACTCTATGAGATCTGATATTTTCATACCGTACTTGCTGCGGTCTTCGAATAGTTTGTAAATTTTGTAGCACTTTTTTAGAATCTGCTATTAGAGATTTTTACGGTTGCTGCTATTTGAGATTAACCAACAGCAATCTAAGTGAAGAATACAAATTGACGATGGCGAGCAGGAATTCTTTAACCAGCGGGTCTCTCAGTGGGTCCACAAAGCACCATTCAGCGAAAAAAGGTACAGTAAGTATTGACTGTACGAAGGTAAAGTGTGGTACTCTACGAATGTACTGAGCCTATTCAGGTATGCACTATGCAGTAACAACTGAAAATGTCCCAAGTTTTTACCACATTGGAACTTCCTTGAACTTTTCTTTATTTTTTTATCTTACTTCAGTTAGCCTGCTAAGCTTTCTCGGGTTTTAACTGGCCTTTAGACTATTATGTGTCAGTTATCGCTGATCACTGCAGCTTCGTATACTAAAAGGCATCAAACTGTATCATTTAAAGAGCGGTCCCTTTACTGGGAAAAGAAAGGATTGCCTTTCCACATAACGCTATGAATTGTTCTTGGCAAAACGAAGCATGCTGCGGTTATGAAGCGATCGGAACGTTGGGAATTTTTTTGGATGATCACTACGCGAGGTGGAATAACATGAAGTAACGGAAATTTTGCGATAAAATAACTGTACGATAAAAGCCTATGGTGGATTTCCTATTTGTCGTACGTTCAGTCTTTAACACAAACAAGAGCTTTTGGTCGTGCATTCAGATGAAGCACGATCCATCGTAGCTTCTAATTATTCGTCTCATCTGTTTTTACATATGCTGTATTGGGAAAACTTCTGATTACGTCGCGGGTCTGTAATCTGCCAGCAAAACGAATGAGCTTGACAAAAGCCGGGGCAAAAGTGCGCTTAACCATGTATCCTGAATGTGTCCCAGTCAGCTGTTTTCCCTTCTGGCCTTGAATATTTTCTGGTAACCTAGGAAAAGTTAAACCATCGCGAATTCAGTTTTAGTCTGTAATTTCATCTACATCCCTGTCTCAAGAAGCAAAACTAACTTCGATGAAAATGATTTCAAGTTAAAAAATTAGCCGTACTTTGCGATCAGGCGGAAAGTTGTATAGGAAACAGCACGGTTAGATACTCAAAAACTCCCCATAATAATGAGATGGTAGGCAGAAACTGATAAGTAATTCAAAAGCTTCCATGTGGGACACTGAAGTATATGTTATAGGCAAATACGCCACCGGAATCCCAGAAGCATTTGAAGTGATGGAAAAGGTGAGGCTTTTCATGTATATTCGCACTGCACTGCCGGCATGTTGGAATATGTGGTTCTATGTTGCTCCATAGGCGTACCGAACGGTGCAGGCCCAGTGGACCGCGGAACAGGACGCCGTAGAATGTATGTATTAAGCGGAATCTGCTGGTGTCTAATAATTTATGAAAAAATCGTTTCAGTGGCCATCAAGACGCTGCAGACGCAAGTGATGGAGCGCGACCGGGTTATTGAACAGCAGACGGCGATGGTGGGTGTTCTGCAGAACGAGATCGCCACGCAGATGCGGACGGTGAACGAGCAGCAGCGGCGCGTCCGGGATCTGGAGGGTCGCTTAGCGGAGGAGCGGCGCCGTGTTGCGGAGCTAACGGAGCGCAATGCCGCCCTGCTGCAGGTCACCGAATCGCTCCAGGGGCCCTTTGCCATCTATGCCAAACTGATGGTGAGCTAGAGGATTCAGGTTTAAGTGTTCAGTGTCCTGTCAGGTTTCATAAGGGAAGTGGGTCGGTACATGGCACCGAATTCGTTTACATGCACGAAAATAAGCTTGCACTTTCGCGCACTCCAAAACACATTTTTCTTTCGGTTTATGACATTCTGTAGCCAGAAGATTTGTACACACGGGCGCGAAAACCGTTTGTACGCACTACAGCTGGTTCGGGAGTTATGGCTGTTAGAAAATTCCCAAAAGTTTAAATGCATTCAGGTGTACCAAAAGTCTCGTTATGGACCGATCTCTCTCAAATTTTGCATGTAAATGCACGTAACCACGAAGAACCGGGCCACTTCCCGTAAGGCAGCATCGGTCAACTGCATAGCGCCGGGTTACGGAATAAAGAAATAGGCGGACCGAAAAGCGTTTTTATATTAGCGAAAAGCATTATATAATAATTAGGTACATTACAGACGTTTACAGTGATTATTTGTAGAGTTCCAAAGGAGACGTCGAAGCACCGGTTGCTGCTGACGCTGCAATTCCACCAGTTGCCCCGATGCTGGTTCCTGCTGTCGTCGCTGCGCAAGGGTAAGGCTGTCTTGTAATTTTCCGATCTGTGGAAAAACTTTTTTCCTTTCACCCTGAGTTCCGTACTATTTATTCCGATTCATTATTCTCACGGCTACAACTAAATACCGAAGACTGCGAAATATGTTTATTCGAATGTATGCTTCTGTTATGCCTCTGTAGTAAGCCAAAGGCAAAGGCATACAGACAGTGAACGCGTTTCCTTCCAGGCAACCCGTGGCTGCTGTCGGGAACGTGGACTCCGCGACTGACCGGCAGGATTCCGCTGCGCCGGAGCGCCCAGTGGAAACGGTCGTTGAGCAGGTGGACGTCAACACGGCTGGAGCTCCCGTCTAATCAGTGCCCGTGGCGGACGATCCAGCGTCCAGCGCCGGCCCGAGTGGCGCAGTGAACGTGGACATGCCACCCACCCTCCCCGTCGAGCCAACCTCGGAGCCGACCGCCGCGCCACCTGTCCGCAAACCGCTTCTCATGAAACTAGCCCGAAGACCCATTGTGAAGATCTGTCGCTCCGACAACTCCCCGGCTGAACGGGAGACCCCGGCCACCCCGAAACCCTGTCCGCCCAAGGAGACCCCCGGTTCGGCGGCGCTGACCGTAACGGTGATGCGGGGCAAGCGGAAACGCGCGCAGACGCTGCTGGCGTCCAGCATCTGCAAGGGCTGCAAGGTGGAGTTTGCGGATGCGGGAGAGCGACGCCGGCATGCGTGTCCGCAGCAGCGCACCTTCCCCTGCACCGTGGACGGCTGCGACAGGACCTTCCGCAGCCAGCCCGGCCGGCGATACCACGAAAACGCCGCGCACGACCGCTGACCACAAGGGAAATTTGCTCGGTCTAAGCGGTCATGTTCCACTGACTAATGCGGGCTAAATGCGCGGAGTTCTGTACATTTCGTCTTTGCATTTATGCTTTGGTATGGTTACGATATTCGGGTATGTTGGTATCGCCATTGCCGTATACGATGCGTTAACATCATTCTGAAATTCGGTTTACGAGACGCGTTTAATGTCGAGCACCGTTCCTTTGATCGCGTATTCAATCTTACTGTACAGGATTTGTTTTATTATGTACAATTTTATATTTTCCCGGAATGAGCTCATATCTGGTTTGTTTTCCAGAGTGTAACGTGTAACTGATAGAACTCTTCAGTTTGTGGTGTAAATAAATGTTTTTTCTGCAGTTCGACTGTCCTGATTTTGTGCTGGCGGGAAGCCTCCCGTTGAAGTGCGTTTCCGATGTACATGTTCGCAGAATCGCAGTTTCGTACTAAAAGTTTTGTACTTAATGTGCTCAACCATAGCATGAACAAAGGCTATGGCTCAACCCCATAATCGTCAGTAAAAATATTTCGGAACATTGACACTCACTTCATTCGGATTTCTTGGGCGCCTTCCTTAGCTCACGTGTTTAAAGTGCGTGAAACATGCAGTGCGAGTAAACACTCGCTGCAAAAAATCTAGCAGTCACTACCACACATTTGATTTTTAATGCACGAGAAGGAAAATTCGCGTTTTTTGCTGGCCGATGTTCATTAGGTTTTGGCTTGCAGCTTATAACTGGATCAGTCTGGATAATCGAACTCGGCGGCGTCGGCGCAGTCGCTGGGATGCAGCGTAGCGCCGACACGCAGCCCGCGTGCGGTTGGGTAATGCTTCGAATCGAACAGATGCAGCACAAGCAAAATCGAAACGCTTACGTTGATTCTTCCCGTATTTTCGCGGCCTTCTTCCCTCGCTGCTAGTCTAGTGATTACGTTTGCACGCGTGCTTGCAAATCTTGCAGTCTGCTGCTTCAAGATTTCACAGCTGGTAACGAACAGAAGCCCAGTAAGTGTGTGCTACCCAAGTTACAGTGGCAGGCGTAGCAACCAGCAGCCCATAAGCTCTGCAGTCGGGAGCGCACTGGGAATCCACAATGGCCAGCCGAAACTCCGTAACCAGCGGGAATCCAAATGGGCACCGTTCAGCTAATCAAGGTATGAAGAAAGCACGATTTTAGATCTTTTGATTCAGTACAGTACGATTTAAACGAACACTCTCTGCACTTGCTTGAAGCTGCAGTGGTGCAGCGACGCGCATGTTGGAAACCGAATCAGGGAATATTCCACGGATAATGTTTGCTATACTCTCAAGTTTCAAGCGAATCGGGGTATCCATGATGTAGCTACACTAGACAGGCACTTAAGAGATGTTACCAAGTTCCGTATGAATTACGACCGGGAAATACGCGGCGGTTAGAGCAAGTAACACGACCGCCGACGCATTTTCCCAACAATAACATCAGCGTTAAGAAACAGCACCTATTTCGCTGGCAACATGCAGGTTCTGTTACGCCCTGCATTTTTGAAAAAGCACAGAAATGCAGGATACTGTCGGCAGAATACCGACCGACCTTGAAACCTTGACAAAATTTATCTCTGATTAAAAAATCTGGAATATAGACACTAGTGGAGTTGCGTAATGATTATCCCAGGTTTCTAATTCTTTGGTAAGCGCGGTTTGGTTTGGCTTGTTTCTTTGGTTTGTTTGTTTGTTTGTTAACTATGAAGTCGTTAGTTCTACTGTTGGATGTTAGGTCCATCCGAGAGCGGCGCGGAAGATAAGTTCAAGGAGGTTATCGAGGTGAGACACGCGCAGTACACCGTACGCACTGCATCGTTGACACGTTGATGCTCGTAGGCATGCGAACGTGTGGAAGCCAAGTGGGAAGAAGAGCGGCAACGCCAACAATGTAAGCCCGTCTCCCGGAATTCATTACTAGTCCGAGGTGCGTTGAATACGGCGCTTCACTGACTGCCTACTCTTGCATATGCAGCGACAATCCGGACGCTGCAAGAACAGGTGATGGAGCACGAGCGTGGCGCTGCCGAGCAAAAGACGCTGATAGCCGAACTGCAGGCGGAGATCTCCGTGAAGGAGCGGATGCTGGAGGAGCAGCAGCGTCGCTGGCAGGAGCGGGAGGTGGAACATCAGCGGGAGCAGACGCGCATCCGCGATCTGGAGGGGTGTCTGGTCGAAGAGCAGCGCCGCGTGGCCGAGCTGACGGCGCGCAATGCCACGCTGGCGCAGGTCACCGAGTCTCTGCAAGCGCCATTTGCCATATATGCCAAACTGATGGTAAGCATGCGTCCAGTTCATTTTTCTGTTCAATTAAGCTGCCCGGCCCGATTGAATGAAGGCATCAACTGTCGACTGCATGATAGTGCCGAATTGTACCTGGTACGGCTTGGCTACTCAGTAAACAATCATTCAATCAGGCGCAAAGTTTGGCAATAACAACAATTAAAAAGGGTGTCGGAAAGTGTTTTTATTAGCCAAAGACGATATAAAAGAGTCGAAATAAGTGTCGAAATATGCAAAGTACGAGGACAGCTGGGTGCTGTGAACATACCCTGCACGATTAGGTGGCGATGAACAGCCGGCTAAATTTAAGCCTTTTTTTTTTTTTTTAAGCCTTTGCATTCAGACTGTGATATCAGTAGCGTTGCGAACTAGGGCTAACCAGCTGTTCATCGCAGCCTAATCGTGCAGGGTATGTTCACAGCACCCAATTGTCCTCGTAGTCAATGTACGAAGGTCAGTACTGGTCAGCGCGGTAATTATGGGTTAGCAGTATATTGCGCTGAAAGATCCCTGTTATTATACTTTGTTTTGTTGTTTGTTTGTTTAATGAGCTTAATGTCTACAACAATCAGGGATGTCCTGCACGAGGTCATAGACTAACATGGAGAAAAGGCTAGCGCATTAGCGAAAGCCTTACATATAAAACATCACAAATCTAGACAACATGTAGTTTCACAGTAAACAGTAATGATCAACATGAAGTTGAAGGAAACGCTTAGTCCATTTTAAATCCGCCAACTTAACCGCATCCAGGCAAGATTCAAAACTGTTGATGCGGTTGTATGATTCCTGGGGCAGTCTGATCTCATTCCACAAGTGCGCCATTAGAAAGGCAAAGCTCCGCTCGCTAATGAACTTCCGTCCGTCCGAGGCGCAGGTGTCCACGGGTTCCACTGCGTAGGGATGTTCATCAAGGGACGTTATCTGACGTGTTCTGCCTGCAATACAAACGGCGGCAGTACCAAGTTTTTCCCGAAGTTTGAAAAATTTCTCTCCATAAGGTACAAGACGGAAAACCATCTTGTACATCAGGAGCAGAGATTTTTGGATACGACAAAATAACAGCGACTTGTAACCCGCTTTTTTTAACGTTTCGGCATACTCAAACTTGCAAGGTCCGAATCTGATACTTTTTAAAAATCGGTATTGGCAGTCTTTTAACTGATCAATTATTAGCTTATGTTGACAGAAAGCTACGGAACTGCCATAATCGGCTATCGGTTTGACAAGGGAATCGTACAACTTCGTTCGAGCCGCACTGTTTTGATATGGAAACAGTGCGTTTAGGTAACGGATACGTTTTTTCATGCGGGTAGCTAGATTTTCGCTGTTACGTTTCCAGTTTAGATGTCGGTCCAGGTAGATACTTCGCATTGTCGGATACTGGGATATTTTCACTGTTTAACGTGTATAAACTATCTGGCACTTTTATACGCTTTCTGGTGAATCGTACATGAGCGCTTTTCTTTGCATTGAAGTTTAGCTCGTGTTCAGCCGCATATCTAGAAACAATATCTAAAGCTGACTGAAACACCTGCTCGTCTTGAGGAGACTCAACTTTTTTTAGAAGACATACATCATCAGCGAAAACAAATACTTCACAGTCTTCTGGTAGATCCGGAATATCATTCATGACACACAGATACATTTGGGGGCCTACCATCGATCCTTGTGGAACGCCGCTTGTTACTTCTCGATGAGACGACAGCTTACCGTTTACATTCACTGCCTAAAAACGACCTTGTAAATAGTCACTAAAAAGTTCCACGAGAGCTTCGTTTAAGTTCAATTTACGAAGTTTGGTTATCACGGTGGAGTGATCAACACGATCAAAGGCTTTACTGCAGTCTAGAAAAACGCAGTCAACATCAATGCCACAGTCAATAAAGTTCATGACCTTTTGCACAAGGATTTGATTTAACAGTTCGGGTGAATGTTTTTTACGATAACCAAATTGGTAGTTGCGAATAAGATTGTTAGATGTTAGATGATTCGTTAATCTACCGTTAATTATTCTCTCGAAAACTTTGGATAACGGATGAAGACAGCTAACTGGCCTCCAGTTTTTGGGTATTGTGAGATCGCAGGACTGTTTCGGTATGGGGGTAACATAAGAAATTTTCCAATTCTTCGGAAATCGTCGTTCAGAGATACAACAATTGAACAAAATTTTAAGGGGAACAATTATTGCCGAACCACAAGTTCTAATAAGATGATTTGTCACAACAAACGGTCCGCTACTTTTCGAGATATCGACTGCTTTTAGCGCTTCCCAGATGTCACATTCATTGACGAAATTTTCATTTTGTTCAGATTTCTTGCCCACCGCCGATGACAGATGGCAGTGTGACGGGCACGGTAGGAGAGAATCAAAATAGTGTGCGTTCAAAACTTCCGCTTTCTCTTCGTCGGTTATAGCAACTTTACCATAATGGTGCAGGATCGGCATACCCTGTTTATCGACACTTTTTCGTACATAAGACCAGAACTTTTTTGGGTCACTTCGGGAGGCTGTGGCAACATCCTGAAGTTGTCGATTCATAAACTTTCTCGTCATTAAATCACACTTCTTAGCATAATTTTTCCAAGCTATTTTGAGTTTTTCCTTTCGCTCACCGACACCAGCCCTAACGTAACGCCTGTGTGCTGTATCTCTCGTCCTGATAGCTCGCTTTAGCGCAAGAGGAAACGATATCACAAATCGATTCTGCACTACTTAGTTGCCGCTTCCGGTCGTGTAGCTGACCGGTATTAATTTATTGCCGAATACGCTATAAGTTTTTACCGAATACGCTACAGTTACCCTACGTCGAGCGATTCGACACCGTGCTCATTTTTTTAGAATTCCAACGGCGCCATCGACAATCCTCTTGCCCCTGCACAAGCACACGCTGCACTTCCGGCTGTCGTCGCTGCGGAAGTGTAAGGATGTAGTGCTGCAGTTATTTAGTTAACCTGGAATTGTCAACCAGTATTCTTAGCTACTGCGCTGATTCGGAGCGTACCGTACCTAGAACGAGTAATCAAATGTAAATGTACCTGTACAGGCTGCCTTGAATTAAATATACCCTTAAGTGTAATATAGTGTCAACTTTAAACACTGGCTTGAGATTGGTTGAATTGTTCTCTTTTTTGGTTTTATGATTAATTCCTGGAAGCGCGTTGTAATTTTAATTGCCTAGAAAAGCTAACGAAATGTACTTTATTTGGATATTGGTGCAGGCATCACGTGACGGTGGCTGATGACATCCCGCAATCGGCGACAGCACCAAGGCCAGAGCTCCCGGCGGGAACGGTCGCCGCGCAAGTGGCCGTCGACACGGCGATGGCGGCCGTCGCGCCGCTCCCCGTGGCGGACGACGCAGCATCCAGCGTGGACGGCAGCCTGTCCGCGGACGGGGACCTGCCGCTGACGCTCTTCCTGGACCCACCCCCGCAGCGCACCGTCCCGCCACCGGCCTACCACTCCATTCTCCTTCTCCCTGCGGAACGCACGCTGCTGCAGCGCCTGAACGGCTGCATCGAGTCCGAGTACCCGGCCCCTCCGGGGCCCGCTCGCCCCCCGAAGACGGTCCGTTTCGCGGCGCTGCCATCGCCGGTGGCTGGCGGGAGCAAGCGGAAGCGCTCGGCCTCGGTGCTGACCGCCGGCACGTGCGGCGTCTGTAGCGTGACGTTCGCCGATGCGGCGGAGCTGCGCCAGCATGCCTGTCCGCTGCAGTGCGCCGTGGAGGGCTGCGGCAAGACCTTCAGCACCGAATCCGCCCGGCAGCGCCACGAGAAGGGCCACTTCTCTCCGCTGAAACGGGGAAGCGCCCATGCGTCGCGCTAGTTGTATGGACGCCTTACAGGATGCCGCACTTGGAACGGGAGTCGCGTTAGTCGTCTGTCAGACCCTTGATGTAAAAGTTAATGGTTTCGGTATATTTCGTCGGTTACGCTTTGCACGAATATGCATCGCCGTTAAGATAATGCGATGATAACATTTTTTCCAGTTACTCGCACAGTATTATCAAATTACTTTGATCTAACGTCGGGTTGTTTTCTGTGGTGTAATCTTTTTATATGGTTTCTGACTTTCTGTCGTTATTCAGTTGGTCACCGTTGGCGTTGGTGTAACTCCAGTGCAGTGCTTGCCTAAATATTTTCTGCATTTATATTAGCCTGTAAGCCTGTTCTGTTATTTTTGTTCCGGGAAGATTTCCATTGCCGTGTTTTTCGACTTTTTTCATAAAATCATGAATTAAAAGTATAAAATTTTTAAAATGTACCAAAAAAAGTTCCATTAGCCTGGTAAGATATCTTCATCAGCTTGTGGTGAATAAGTTGGCTACTGTAGGAAAAATAATAAAAAAGGGAACAGCCAATTGTGACCTTAAGCTATCCAAAACTTACACAACGTGTACTTTAACCGTAGACCCCTCAACATATACGAAACTTTTACCACTTTGCAAATCGGCAATAAAAAGACAACAACAATCAACCTACTAGAAATAATTTCGTCCAATTGGTGAACTGGTTTTGAATCTGAATGGATTGTAAGTCAATGCACAAAGGCTAGCAAATAAAAACGTAAGCAACTGTTGCAGGAAGACTTCACCTACAAAATCAGTGTCTAATCAAACAGAACAGCGAGTGAGAAAAGTCGTGAACGATGAGCCAACGGTAGAGAAAAACCGGCTGTTTATACGCAGCCCTCAACACTGAGCAGAACAGCGCAGTTACAACAGTCCGACCACGGAGCTGACCAGAAACCGGCGTCCAGGAGACCAGGCAGTTAATCGAAATAGGGGCCCGTGTCAGGATAGCGTTGTGGGCTCCACGCAGCGGGCAGAGGGGAACCAAGGGTTTCGCTGACTGTGAGGTTGGCCACCGTCAGGACGCTCAGCTGACCGACGTCCAACTGCCCGATGTCCGCCGCCGTCCACAGCCGCCCGCGGTGCACAGTGCCGGGACGCGGATCCGGGCTCTGGTAGTTGTTCACCGTCTGCAATATGCCTGCTACTGTTTATTCGGCAACGACCAGCTTACATAACGCACATCCTGCGCTGATAAAACTATAACCAAAAGCCAATAAAAATTCCGTGTTTTCCCAGAACATATGCTGGGCACAATGGAAGGCCTGGATAAGCTCAACGAAATTTTTCTGTTATAGTTTAGTGTTTCTTTTTATATATATGTATTGCGTTTTTGATTTGACCAATAAAGTCCATCAATACCTACTCCACTTTGTCTTAAAACCAAGAACGCAACTTTTCTGACCGGGACCAATTTTTCATCCAGAAACTAATTTGTCCGAACGAGCAGAAACCCGGTTTAACTTGGAATGACTCAATTCGAAAATATGAAAAGTTAAGCGTTTTAACTTGTGATGAAAAACACTGATCTCGTAAAATACACGCTCTCAAAAGAGCGACCCTGGACCTACCTTGACAACATCTTCAATCTCAGCGTCATTGTGTTCAGCGATGCAGGCAGCGATTCGCTCCTTAACGGCCAGCCGGTCCAACGGTCGTTGCAGCAGCAGACCCTTCTCGAACACCTCCCACACCTGCACCGCCATCTCCTCCCGCGACTGCACGTTGAATACGTGCTGCTCCACAACCGCCTCCAGAAAGCTGATAACGCGGCACTGCTTCCACACCATGCGACGGTCCGCCGCGAAATCCTCGGCCAGGCTCGTCAACCGCTCGACCATGTGCTCGAATACCACGTCAATTTGCCCGTACATGTAGTCTTCGGTATCGAAAATACTGAAGCAGGCCTGGAACAGCACCAGCGTCGGCAGGCGGTGACTGCCGCGGAGATGACGCACCACCGCCGACAATTTCCGGCAGTCCACGAGCCCCATGCCGCTGAGGACCAGGGTCGTGGTGGCGGTGGTCAAGCATTTCAGCAGACAGGTCACCAGCCACATGTCGCGCATGAACGGGAAGTCGGGATACTCGGACGACCAGCCGTCGATGTGGATATCGGGGAAGTAGGTTTCCGTGGTGAGAATGCTGTTCCACAAGGCGCAGACACGGCGACAGCGGACGCGCCGGCTGCAATCCAGCGATTGGAAGACCTCCACCAGCAGTTCAATCGGCAAAGCCAATACCGCACTTCTCGCAGAGGTTTTGCGCTGTTTCCTGGCGTTGTCCAGGGAGATTTCCCGGAGCACGTAGTCCAGGGTGAGTGAGGGATGGTCAGTCTCGGTCTTTTTCTTGGCCCAAGCGTACGTTCGTTCCTGCAACCGATACATACAACGAAATTTTAAAAAAAGGTTGGAGTTTTATTTTTATAATTTATATGCTCGTTGACATGCGTATTGAAAAATAAAAAGAAAAATAAAAAGAAAATTGATAATTATGTTAGCACTATTTCATTCAGGGGTCGGTGTTGCTTCAGGACGCATAATTCTTAATACATAAAAGCCATTCCCGTAAATTTAACCTGCATTCCTGCACAAATCACTTGATCGTATAACACTTAACAGCGTTGTTACGCAGAGCCTAAAATAGTGGAATTTTAAAGATTGACACCCCCCGGGTGGGTGATCTGCGGTGTGGACTGGGGGGAGGGGGCATGGCGGCAAGGTGTAAGCCACTGTAGGGTCAAGAGTTACATCAAATGCCAGTTTCTGCGCGAAGACACGGAGCTTTCCCTCCAGAAACTGCTAGAACTTAGATTAAAAATAGTACTAATAAATCGGAATTTGTGGTACGATAGATTTTGGGCATTAAGCAACGGAATTTGCAGAATTTTAGCGGAAAGTATTTCCACGCGAAGCGCGAAGCCAGCGAGCGATTTTGCTGCAAAAATTGCTAGAACTTAATCTTAAATTAATAATTAGTAGAAATAATTTTTCTTTGCAGCGAAAGCTTAAGGGCATGCCGCATGAAGTATGGTTGTATCTTGTATATAGTCTTCAGAAAAGATTCGCGCGAAGCGCGAAGGTGACGCACGTTTTTACTTGGAGAATTGCTAGAAATTTTATAAAAATTAGTTAAATATTACAAATTTCTTGTAAAGCACTTCAATGAACACTCGAGTTCACTGCAACAAATAATATTCTTATTTATATTTTTAATTTATTTTTTAAATCGCGGACCCCCTCAATCTTTTTATTGCATTTTTCAACTTTCAACAGATTGACAGTTTTTCCCGTAAAGTTTGACAAAATTTTTAAAGATTGACACCTGTGTCAAATAATTGACACTATTTTAGGCTCTGTTGTTACGTTTCACGAAGGCATCTAACTTATAATCTGACAATTTCGAACGAAATTCAGAGACTTCCGGCGGAAGGATGAGTAAATGCAACCGCTCGGAGTGGCAGCTTCAGACGAATTGCATCTTGAAGTTTCGGAACTTCAAGATAAAATTTCCGTTTTCTACGGCGTCTTCAAAAAATGGTAAAATATAGGGTACAATATTTCCATTAAGAAACTGAAAATAAATTAAGTAAAAGAAACCACTCCAAATTGTACGAGCTTGAAAAATTGAAAAACATGCAAGAACAGTGAATCAGTGTGAAAACGTTCTTCGTGGGTATGTGCATTTACATGCAAAATTCGAAAGAGATCGGTCCATAATGAGACTTTCGGTACACCTGATGCATATAAACATTTTGGAATTTTCTAACAGCCATAACTCCCGAACCGGATGTGTGCGCACAAACGTACGGTTTCCACGCCAGTGTATACAAATCATTTGGCTACAGAATGCCATAAAACAAGACAAAAAAGGATTTGGGAGTGCGCGATTTGGGAGTCGGACTTGTTCACGAATTTGGTACCATGTACCCGGCCACTTCCCTTAATGCCACTTACCACCTGTTCAGCTGTCAGTGGGGCGGCGGTCTGGCGCTGCAGATACAGCATGGTCTGACTGAGCACCGACGTGCGCAGCACCTGGCAGCGATACTTCAGTGCGCACTTGAACATCTTCTTCAACACCTGGGACGTGTTGGTCCAGTAGGCGGCCGGCAGCGGACAGCTGCGGATGACAAATCGATCCTCCGTCACCACCCAGCCCCGCAGAACCTCCTGGGAGGGGTGGGGACGCACTTGCTCACTGGGAGCAGTTCGCGGACGACGCCGTGGGGCAGCTGCACCTCCACGAACAGGACTCCCTCCGATTCGAAGGGCTCCAGCTCCACTACCTCACCGGGGCACCACAGCCAGGCGCCGTCGCGCGCACGGGGCAGCAGCACCTGCATGTGTTGCGGCGTCCAGGGCTGGCCATGGCGTCTAGCGAAGATTTCCCCGAATTCAGCGAAGTGCGCGCGCTGTCCCGCACAGCGGAAATCGATGATCAGGCCCCCCTCCGCCACGTCGACCACCTCACCGTGCTGTAGTTGGCCGTCGACCAGGACGTCCACGCCGTTCCACGCGTACACCGTGTGCTGCGCGTCCTCGTACACCAGCATCGCGCCGTTCGTGGCTAATGGGCTTTCTCGATGGCTGTAATATTTCACGAGTCGGTGGACCAGCAGAAATTCACAGGTTTATATGAGTTTTATCCGAGATTTAACCGAATCGCAATTCTCAGAATTCTGACCAAGTTGTCAACAACTTTCTCGCCTGTGAGAGTGATTAAGCGCATTATCTTGATTTGCAGCTGCGATAATATCAGGGATACTCGCCAGCTGAAAAGCCAAACAAATGCCAGCTGACTGCTGCTAGCACGGTAAAGGCAGAGCCACGGTTTGCAGCACGCCTGCATTTTGAGCGTGATCGCCATTCTGGGCGGTCACGGCGGTGGATTTGCAATTCGTGCGCTTTGTGGTTCTGTCAAAATCTCTCTGTCATTAGTATTAATATCTAAATTTTTTTAAAATGTTGCTGTTTTTTGTTGCCATATCGTGACCAGACTAGTGAAGTGTCTCAGGATATGTCTGCTCGGAAATAAACAAAACCAGGCACACTTCATTCGCGAAGCCACAGTCTTATCCGACAGAAGAGGGAAGACCCTCATGAACGAGTAACCAACGGTAGAGAAAACCCGGCTGTTCATCGGCAGCACTTAGCACGGAACAGAACTCCGCAGTTACAACAGTAAGAGGACTGATCAAGGAGATGGTAAGTAATCGGCGTCGAGAAGACCCCGCAGCAGATCCCCAAAAGGATCAACGTCAGCGCTAAGTTGTGCGCGTTCCGCATTGGCAAGCGACGAATCAAAGCCTGCGCCGAGGCTGGCCACCGTCAGGACGCTCAGCTGACCGACGTCCAGCTGCCCGATATCCGCCGCCGTCCACAGCCGGCCGCGGTGCAGGGTACCGGGCCGCGGATCCGCGCTCTGGTAATTATTCACAGCCTACACAAGTTCATCTTCATTTCTGATAATTATGAAGGAGAATTATTAATATTTTACAATTTATATCGATCGTTGATAATTTACGTCACATATAAATATAATCGACATGTATGAGCCATGCCAAATGCGTGTGACGTGCCGCAAAATAAAGTTTGCAAAATGTATCTGCTGCTGTGATAATGCGGTAGAAATATTAAGGAACAAGCCTGACGCTCTCCAAAAAAAATACTCGTACGCAACCTACCATCACCATATCCTCAATCTCGGAGTCGCTATGGTCAACGATGCAGGCAGCGATCCAATCCTTAACCGCCTGCCTGTCCAACGGTCGCTGCAGCACCAAACCCGCCTCGAACACCTCCCACACCTGCACCGCCATCGCCTCCCGCGGTTGCACACTAAACACATGCTGCTCGACAACCGCCTCCAGACTGCTAACCACCCGGCACTGCTTCCACACCATGCGACGGTCCACCGCGAAATCCCCGGCCAGCCGCGTCAACCGCCCGACCGACTGCTCGAACAGCACGTCCCGCTCCTCGGTGTCGAAGACGCTGAAGCGGCACTGGAAGAACACCAGCGTCCGCAGGCGGCGGCCGGCGAGGAGATGGCGAACCAGCGCGGAGAGCTTCCGGCATTCCAGGAAGCCGACGCCCGTGATCATCAGGGTCGTGGTGGCCCGGTTCAGGCATTTCAGCAAGCTGGCCACCACCCAGAACATATCGGGCAGGGATGGGAGGTCGGCAGACTCGGAGGACCAGTGGGAGACGCGGACATCGGGGAAGTAGGTGTCGGTGGTGAGGATGCTGTTCCACAGGGCGCAAACACGGCGACAACGGACGCGGCCGATGGAGTCCAGTGTCTGGAAGATTTCTACCATTAACTCAACGGGCAACGGAAGACTTTGACGATTTCCGGGAGTTTTGCGCTTTTTACTGGTGTTGCCCATGACGATTTGCCGGAGGACATAGGCCACTGCGGACGAGTGAACGGCTTTGTGCACCTCGTATTTGGCCAAAACATAAGCATCTTCCTGCAACAATTATTAAAAATGAACTCTTGTTACTGTATTTTAATACGAGAATAAGAGGAGCAGTATTTTGGCTGCTCAGGAGGCGCAAAGGGTCGCTTAAAGACGCATAGCTTCTAATTCACATGAACGACTTCCTTCAGAGTAACATTTATTCCTGCGGAAATCACTTTTCTGTCTAACGTAATTTATGTTTAACGACAAGCTCCTCAATGAAAATTTCCAACGACAGAAATTCAACGACTTCCGCCGTCTGAAGAGATTGCAACCGCCCGTGTGACAGCAAATGTCAATTTTACCAAGAACGTCGTTCAGAACGATTTTGAAAAAATCTGTTTTCTTCCTTTTTGATTATCTCCCCAAAAATGACTACTTCCTCTGCAGTGCTTTTATTTAAAACAAATAAGAATAAAATTAATGAAGTACAAGAAATGCTTCTTGGTTGAAGATGCACCATTTGGAGGCAGACTGATACAAAACCAGTAAAAGCAGAACGAACACAGAATACTACTTAAATTTAGTCAGCCAATAATCAATATCATCTTTAAGACTGACGTCCTTAACCCGGAATGCATGACGAAAATAAAAGCAAAGTTAACAAAATCATGACTGCACTTACCACATCTTTACAAGTCAGTGGAGCGGCGTTCTGGCCCCGCAGACACAGCATGGTGCGGCTGAGCACCGCCTTGCGCAGCACCTTGCAGAGTTTGCTTAGTTCGTACTAGAAGAGCGCCTTCAGCACCCGCGACTCGTCGCTCCAGTAGTCCGAAGGCAGCGGGCAACTGCGGATGACAAACCGCGTCTCCGTCACCACCCGCCCCCGCAAATCGTTCTTGGAGGGCCGTGGGCGCACCTGATCCCCGGGGACCAGTTCCCTGACAACCCCATGGGGTAGCACCACTTCCACGTACTTCGGTCCGTTGGATAAGGAATCGAAGGGACCCAGGTCGACCAGCTCCCCCGGGTACCACAGCCAGGCGCCGTCGCGCCCGCGCGGCAACTGCACCTGCACGTGCTGCAGGCCCGAGATCTGGTGGCGCTGGCAGCGACTCTCGAAGATCTCCCCGAATTCGACGAAGTGCGCGCGCTGTCCCGCACAGCGGAAATCGATGATCAGGCCGCCCTCCGCCACGTCGATCACCTCGCCGTGCTGCAGTTGGCCGTCGACCACGACGTCCACGGCGTTCCACGCGAACACCGAGTGCTGCTGGTCTTCGTACACCAGCATCGCGCCTTGCGTGGCTAACACGGACGCTTTCCTGATCACCGATGGGTCTGATATTCCCCAAGTCGATTGCCCAGCAGAAATTCACAGATATTCCAAATTTTCAAATGTATTCCAGATTTGTACAAGTCAGAATCCTGTCACGGACTCACTGTCAGACACTTTATGTTTCTGGCCCGTCAAAAACATGTTTAACAAATCGAAGACTGCAGTTGTGCTTTTTGCCAGCTGATCGGCAGCTAGGAGCAGCACGGCTGAATTTCTCCAACGTGCTCGCCTCTCTGGGCGGTGATTTTGTGCGACTGCGGTGCAATAATTTTTTTAAAATATAACCGGCTCCCCTCTAAGGAAATTTCCATTTTTTGATTGAACTTTTGAAGACAAATTTGGCAGTTAGGATACTTAAAAACATAGTTTCATCGACAATCGTCCAGGAGGCGTGGCACGATTCCGATACCGCTACGATTTCGCCCAAAATTTCCGTTATGATAAATCCGATATTCCGCGCTTTTTCCGCGGAAAACATCGGAATTGTCGGACATATCGGTGGTCTCCGATGACTTATCGGACCAGCTGTGGAACAGACTGTACCTGAACCAGGGTGTTGAGTCTACACACTATATTGCCTTACGTCAAGAACATTTTTATTCAGATTGCAACTAGCACACTATACCGTACCGGTTCGGTGTATCAACCGGCTTTTTTTACAACGTCAAGTGCAAGAAATAGACCACTACTGTAAGATTAAAGATGCCCAATGCACAAATTTAAAAAAAGCGCTACAACTCTATGGATCAGACGGTCCCCTGTCGTATACCAAAAAAACTGGGAAATCTTTATGCGTCGCTAACCAGGAGCCAGCAAACAGCCCGATCAATGCACCGAACGCAAGAGACTATAGTAATTATTATTATGGATAACGCGTCGGAACGATATGGTGACTGCCACGCAAAATGTCCTCAAAAGTCAAAATCCGGATCATCCAGGGGATAGGGCCAGCTGGTAGGTGGGTCAACGGGAGTACCGCGCTTGGCAATGTTGTCGGTAGCGGGCAGAGACAGATCGATGGCTTCGCTGAAGCTGGCCGCCGTCAGGACGTTCATCTCGCTGACGTCCAGCTGCCCGATATCCGCCGCCGTCCAGCCGCGACCGCGGTGCAGCGTGGCCGGCCGCGGATCCGCGCTCTGATACATACCAACCGCCTGCAATGCAATCATTTGTACAAGTGTACACGTCGATCCTTATTATCACTTCGACGTTTTCCCATACCGAACATTTTCGCACTCTGGATTCGCGTACCAATCACCAGAGACACGGTATTTTCCGCATGAAAAAAATTATCAAAAAATTGATTAGGTGATTATACGCATTTTTACACAAGCATGTACAGGAGATTAAAAGAAAGTGCAATGAGTGCATCCTATGATCCTAATGATTTTGGATGTTTTTTTAATGTTTAAAATTTCGTCATTTTAATTAGCGTAAAGATGCGCGAGCGTATTGTAATGCGCGGCTGTTGCCGAATAAAAAATTGCATTTAAAAGAAAGTATGAAGGTTAAGAATGCGGAGCTTCGCAGCGAATATGTTTTGGTTCGTTTCGAAATCTTCGTAGTTTTTTGGTTGTATAAGATAAACATGTAAGGTCTTTACCCTAATAATATCATCAATCTGAGAGTCATCGTGTTGCTCAACGCACGCAGCGATCCAGTCCTTAACCGCCGGCCGGTCCAACGGTCGCTCCAGCACCAAACTCTTCTCGAACACCTCCCATACCTGCAACGCCATCTCCTCCCGCGACCGGACGTGGAAACCCTGCTGCACCACCACCGCCTCCAGCTGATCGTGCGCCAGACGGCACCGCTTCCACACCATGCGACTGTCCGCCGCGAAATCCTCGGCCAAGCCGACCAAACAATTGACCATATCCGGGAAGTAGTCCTCCTCCTCTTCTTCCATATCCAGATAGCTGAAGCGGCACTCGTTCAACACCAGCGTCCGCACGCGATAACCACTGAGAATATGGCGAGCCACCTGTAACGTGATTCATATTATGTCCGTGACTTTAGCGAGTCTGCTTGACCTACATGCTATTTTGTTGATATTCTATGTCTAGCTATATAAGCCACAGCCCGTTTTGTTGAGTCATGTGGTTTTCTAACTAGTCGATCGACTAAACAATGTATCAGCACGGTCAAATCTCTTAGTAAAACTCTTCTTTACACACCGCCGCCAAGCTCCGACATTGGACGATATCCAGGCCGGTGATGACCAGGGTCTTGGTGGTGCGGTGCAGGCATTTCAGCAGGCAGACCACCATCCAGTACATGTCGGGGATGAACGGGAGGTCGGGAGCGTCCGACTGCCAGCCGGAGACGCGCACGTCGGGGAAGTAGGCGTCGGTGGTGAGAAGGGTGTTCCACAGTTGACAGACACGCCGGCAGCGGACGCGTCCGATGGAGTCCAGTGACTGGAAGATGTCTACCAACAGTTCAGACGGCAACGGGAATTTCTTTTGAGGCTGTCCGGATTTGCGCTTTTTGCTGGCGCTTCGGGTAGCCATTTGACGGAAGATGTGTTCGGATGTCGGGCACGGGGAGTCGGTCTCCGCCTCTTTCTTCGCCCAGGCGTACGCTTCTTCCTGCAACCAGTAATGAAATTGCGGATTTTTGCTAAGTCTGATTTATTTCAGTATATAAAAAGGGAAGTAGTTTATATAAAGGATTTAATGATTTAACGTCCGCACACATTCAGGGCCCAGTTCGAGGCAGCAGACACTCACAACAACAACAATTCTTCAGAATACACAGCATTTCAGATCCGCTTTAAACAATAATACATCAGCGTACTGCGTACATATAAAAAAATTCTGATTATTATCTTCCGGCGTTCCCACTTTAAAGTAGGCGGCAGATGGCCTTATAAAGTAATTATTTATGTAAAATCATAAATTACTCATTAACCCAATCAATTCCTTTTCGATTATTCGTTCTATGTCTTATTTTTAAATAAAAAGGAGACTTTTATTCAGCAGTAGACACAGCAGTACAAAAATGGTTGCGCTGGATTACATTAATTAAGTTGAACAAATTTTAAACACTAAAATAATACCAAAATAGGTCTTACCACTTGCTGAATTGTCAGAGGGGCGGCGTTCTGACACTGGAGATACAGCATGGTCTGGCTGAGCACGGACGTGCACCGCACCTTGCAGCGCTGGCCCAATTCCGCCTTAAAGAGCTCCTTCAGCACACGCGACTCGTCGGCCCAGTAGGTCCCAGGCAACGGACAACTGCGAATGACAAAATCCTTCTCCGTCACGACGCACCCCTGCAAGTCCTCATCCGATGGCTGCGGGCGCACCTGGTCGACGGGGACCAGTTCGCGGACGGTGTCATGAGGCAGCAACACTTCCACGTACTCGGAACGGTTGGAGAGGTAGGGCCCCAGGGGGAGCACCTCCCCGTGATACCAGATCCAGGCGCCGTCGGATGCTCGGCGCAGCAGCACCTGCACGTACGTCGGCCAGGTCTCCTGGTAACGGCTGTCGAAAATGCTCCCGTAGGCGACAAAGTGCGCGCGATGTCCCGCACAGCGGAAATCAATGATCAGGCCGCCCTCCGCCACGTCGATCACCTCGCCGTGCTGCAGTTGGCCGTCGACGCGGACGTCTACGGCGTTCCACGCGAACACCGTGTGCTGCTCGTCTTCGTACACCAACATATCGCGCAGTTCGTGGCTAGATCACAGATGGGTTCGATATTCGCAGAGTCGGTTGCCCGGCAGAAATTCACAGTTTTGTCAGGTGTATCCCAAATTTATATACAAAATCACTTGCCAGATACACTTTCTGTCACCGTCTCGTCGGTATAAATATTACACAAATGATAAATCTGAAACTTCAGTAATCGAATCTGGTGATAACGTACAGTACTGATAAGAAAAACGTTGAACGAAAAGCAGAAATGCACCTGCTTAGCGCACGCCTGTATTCTTGACGTGCTCGCCGTTTTGGGCGGTAGGTTAAAATTTCGTGAGATTGCGGCGTACTGCTTAGGTTTATGGTTGTAATTAAAAGTGAGTAGCGGCGCGCAGCCTTTAATTTGTCCGGCCTGCAGTCAGCGACCAAGATTCATCCCAAGATTCACAACTTGAAAATCTTACCAGAACTGTGCAGTTACGTTCAATTATTGATTTTTAAGCAAATTCAGCTATAAGGCTCTTTTCGAGAGTATTGTTAAAAACCACCAACGACTACGATCTCGTTTTAAAGATGGAATGGTGGCGCCTGCTCCCCATAGCGCGGCGACTGTGCAGCTGCTGTCCGCCCAGCCGTCTCCCACGATGCGCTGGTGCGAAGCCAACATCCGCTACCCCGACTGGATGGGGTTCTAGCGTGGGCTTACACAAGGATTCAAAAGCGTCTAACACAAGAATCGGTTACATGTTGTCGCTGTTCGATCATTATGATTCCGCAGCTCTTATCTGCAGTAATCTGCTTATTTAAAGCACTGATTTTTCCTCTTCTGGATTACTGCAGTCCAGTGGTAAAAGCTTTCCTTAAAATGCAACGAGAAGATCTAGAGATATGTGTTTTGAAATTTTTAAAAAGACTACGTCTGGGAAGCGCGCGTAATGATTACTGTGGCCGACTTCATGAGGTAAACTGGGACTGCGTTGAGTTACGTCGGGTTACGACCTCTTTTTTTGTTGCGTATAAGCTATTACTCGGCATTATGCCCCTCGGCAACTGCTTTTTCACTAGTTATGAGTCAGTCACTGCCGTCAATACTGTTGCAGGTAACACCCGAAATGCAAACCGGATGTCGCGCCATCCATTCCCGATTCAAGCTGCGAATACCACTTTTTGCAGAACCGAAGTGCCAGCCAGTGAAGACTCGTTCTCATGGAGGACTGACAAAATCTGGAATGACCTCGATTTGGACGCATCATCCTATCGCAGTATCGCTCACTACATGTGTTTCAGGCAGCACTGGACAGCGTTTCATGGAAGGAAATCGCCTCTGTTAAAGACCACCTTGACACGCTTAATTAGCTTGACCTTTGTTGAAATCGATGTAATCGTCCTTATTTTGTCGGTTTTGTTGCACTGTTTTCTTGTTTTAATTATTTGACTTGTCTATAGATCTCGATGAGGAGTGATTCGTTGTATCTGTAGACATTAAGCATTAAAACCAAACAAAACCAACCCTAAGCGCCGCGTGTGTGGTGTGTGCTTGTGACTACGGTATGTGTGTGCTGTGTGTCGCCTTGGTTGATGAAAATTAATAAAGGTCATGCTCAGACGCGGTTATACGTGGCGCTCGTCATAGATTCTACGTTTTCCGAAATGGTCAAATAGTTATTAGCCATCAGGAGAATGAACACTAGTTTTATTGCAGCCAGAAATTCTTGAAGATTACCACGATCACATCGCATCACGTTTTGTCCAGCCAAAGCATTTGGTCTGCCAATGCATTTTCTAGTTATTCTAAATTTACAAAGGTAATTCATTTTATTTTAGCCAGATCGTCATTATAAAGGTCAGTCCTCTTTTATTATACAGACACAAGTTCACAGCAGTATTCCAAAGGTCACTTATTTATTTGCATCGCCAATATTTGTTTCCATCCCATTCTATTAATTTTTATTAGTGCCACATCTGCTCTGTGAAGACCCCCCGCATTATGACGTCATTTTAAAGGTCATTTGTTTACATTTAATAATAGCCACATAACTCAGCTAGGAATAGGAAACATGTGGAAAATTCCTAACACCACCGATACTAGTATCGGTGGTGTTAGGAATTTTCCACATGTTTCCTATTCCTATTCCTATTCCTATTCCTATTCCTATTCCTATTCCTATTTCCTATTCCTATTCCTATTCCTATTCCACATGTTAGGAATTTTCCATGTGCGCGTACTTCTTCACGAATACTATAATCATCGTAGAAGGCGTTCTCCAAATGTATCGCTTTTGCTATTACAAACTCGTACTAGCTTCGTATTATTAAGTCACTTTATTGCATTTGTCTAAGAATTAACAATCAGTTAAGACAGATGAGAGACACATGAAAGTGATTTTCTTCAATACTTAGATAACATCAGTGAGCGAATGATTTTTTGTCGGTTATTTTTTATTTTCTGGTGCTGTGCATATATATTAAGCGCAAAAAAACTGAACATGATTTGGCGCCTGAACATGGCGCAAAGAATGACTTACTTTATCGTCGAAATACGTAATTCGAAACGTTTTAATAAAAATTTATCCTCCAAAAAAGTGCAGATTCGAATTGCTAAAAACACGATTTTCAAAGCAGTACTGTATCTGTATATTCCATGTTCCGTATATGCCGTATATTCTAGATGTACAAGCCTGTCCGTGTAATGAGCACGTAAAGGTACAGCTAATGCATATTTAGCGCGATATTAGCGCTGAGCACGATGGCCACTACACTACGTTTACCACAATGCGTAAATGCGCTCCGCAGTTAGATTGTCCCTTACTGCACCGACCGTTTTCTAGCCACCATCCGCCAGGCAATTACAATTATTCTCAATAAATTATCAGGTGCGCAGCAGGCCACCAGCCAGCGAAACGCATGTTACGTGTTTAAACAGTGTGGCGTAGCGTGGCGTTGTATGTTGTTTGGCGTAACCCATGAATTTACATTTTTTGCTGTTCTTTATCGTGCTCATCATCCGGACCGGCTTGTACAAGCTTGTCCGGTAATTTCTGTCGTAAAGGTACAGATGGCACATATTTAGCGCGAAGTATGCGCTATAGCGATTGCCACTACACTACGTTTGGCGTAACACGCAAATTTGCGTATTTCGCTGTATTGAACCGGCAGGAATTACCGGACAAGCTTGTACAGTATATATAGTATATATTTATATACTGCTTATATACAAGCCCATCCAACAATTCTTTGACCGCTGTAAGCGCAGCGCATATAAATCGCGCACAGTAATGCAAATACGCATCGTAGTGTAGTGGCAGATATATTTATAAATATTCAACCAATATATTAGATCACAATTAATAGACCATTATTAGACCAACGTGGAATCAATCATCTTTAGCCCGGGCATGTTGCAATCAGTAATTTGAAAGTAATATGGATATTAAGTACCACCGCGATATTGTATTGCAAAGCAAAGATAATACTGTTACAAAAGCATAAAATTAATATAAATTATGATGGCAATAAATAATGCTAAACATATTACATTGTATATCACAGATACAGTAACTGCAACACATGCAGATTTGGTGCTTATTTACGCAGAATACGCAGACCCATGTGGCGTGACGTGTCGAAGCACATTAAATGGTTCAAGCCCACGTTTCTTTAAATTCCCGCTTACAGCGGTCAAAGAATTGTTGGATGGGCTTGTATATACTGCTTGTACAGTATATATTTATTCTACAGTTTATTGAATAATGAAGTAATAATATTTTTTTCATTCGCCTTTTTGTAAAGCTGTAACTGCTGTATAAATTAGCTTAGTGCTCACTTCACGCTGTTGCTAAGCGCTTTTCTTCCGTGCACAAAACAAGACGAGCACCACATACAATAATAGTGAGTAGTGTTGTTGACCTACCGTGAATGTATGAAGCTTCAAACCATTAAAAAACTATCATCATAATAGTGAGTGCGTACTATGTTAATAAACTTTCGATTAGGCATTCGTACGACGACAAAAGCTTGAGACACAGCTGCAGACTGGCAGTGGCGCAGTTGAAATGCCATCAGTGCTTCCGGTCTAATAATATATTGAATTTGGCAATCGCGGCGACCGCCATCAGTACAGTATATGAAGCTTCCGATACGAAGGTTCTTGGCTGGCCACTAATTTAATTGACCAGTAAGTGTGTAAATAGATTTTGATGACCACTTCGTACACTACCTTTCCCTACCTTTTATTCCGTATACTACCTTTTGCGCTGCCTTCCTTTCCGTGCACAACCATTTTGCACCACATTTCTTTCGGTACGCTGTCTTTTTGAGGAACTACCTTTGACCCCGTACACTAACCGTTCACTTCCTTTATTCACATGCCTGACGTTCTGTTTTACAAATTTTTTCTTGTGACGACATCGTCACTACTCACTAGTCGCACCGCATCGCAATTAGCCACCGGTGTGCAGGTAAGCTGCACATTCCTGCGCGGTCATGTTGTACTGTTTCAGTGCTCGAAATTCTGAAATTACCTGTGCACTTAAAACCTACGAAAATCAAACTTTTTCTCTAGAAAAAACGAGCTCTTACGGCATCAGTGTCTCCTCTGCAGTGATGCCTTATGCAGTGTTCGTAAACCAAAACCTACAACGTGGGGAATACAATGCGAGCAAGAAAGGAAGCTACGGGTTTAGGGTGTGCGTTCTAGCGAAGACAGCGAAAACCGGTTTCTACAGCTCGTACGCGCACAGACAGCCACACTCATACGTGTGTAAGTGAATGCGAGCGGATTAAACCACTCACACACACATGTGCCGATCAATCGATACAGCAAGGCAGCATTCAGCTTGCGCTTTTTGGCAGCACTGGAATCCGCTGTCTTCGGTCTGTTTATAGTCACAACAGAGACGCTGCATTGATCAACCAGCCTCAGCGGGCAAAAAAGGCTGTTCGCTGGCTTTTTAACATAGACCGTAGCGTCCTCATTTAGTCAGATTGTATGTACTCTCATTGTTGATCGTGCTAATTTCGTCCACATTCGATGCATTTCAAGCGATTTTAAAATATCGCCATTTCAAGCAGATTGACGTTTCAATTCACTTCACATTTCACGCAAGGGTCCTCGTGGTTATGAAATGAAAGTGAAACGAAAGTGAAATGTTTAATCGTGAAAGCGTGATTTCAACCCGACAAGTTTCCTTTCCACTTACCATTTTTTATCTAATAGTGGCT